GGAGGCACCAAACCACTGCCAGGAAGAGGAGGAAAAGCAGGGCATTAGGAGAAAACAGATTATCCTGGACAACAAAGACAATGCATTTCCCAAACTGGGTTAAAATCCTGAACAATTACTGCACTGGTGCATCACTGACATGAAAAGAACACTGAACACTTGTGCAAAATGTGATCTCTTCTGGTGAAAGCACACTGGACATCATCCCAGCTCTGCCACGAGCCATGAAAAGGCCTCACAGAAACCCAGCTGTAAACATCAGGAAGAAATCCAGTGAAGACTTCACGCCTGAGAGCTGATGTAATGATGCCTGGAGCTTGCATGAGCTACACCAGTTGTGTATAGGTTTGAGAGATGACACAGCAGCCCCCAGTAAAACTCCAAAGCTTTACTTCAGTAAAACTGAAACTGGATTTTGCCAGCCCATATCCTGAACATCCTTTCATCCCCTTACTACAAACATTTCAGAAAATGGACTACCTCCACCTCGATATTTTTTCACATACTGTAATTTTTTTTCTTTTAGAGTTTTATAATAAGCAACCTATTGAGATTTTGGTGCTGGGAAAGAAAGACTGGAGAAAAAGCAGCAAACAGAGCTGCTCCTGAATAGAAATAATTGCACAAGATATCCATGAGACATCAGAAGATGTCAGGTGCTTGCTTAAAGTCTGTTCAGTCATGTTTGAAATGCCCAGCTCTGCTCAAACTTCTGAGAGGAAGAAAGTAGCTGTTTAGTAGGTGGCAAAAGTTCAGCTTGACCTGCAGTGCTGAACTGAAAATTTGAATTCAAGTTTTTCCAAGTTTTGGTTCCCAAGAACTGCATCAGCAGAGAGGATGTGCATGCACTGAGAAAGAGCAGTGTGACACACACCCACTTGCTTGAAAAATCAAGCACTGCTTTTGGGACCTGCAGCTGAAGAGGACAGGATGAAAACTCAGCAGCTTTTTGTGTTTTAGAGTCAACACACAGGTAACAGTCTGGGCTGGGTTTGGAACTAAGAAGTCAAAGAACAGAATCAGAGAGATTAACCCAGACACAGAAGGTGTTTCAGGGAACAGCTCTGCCTGGGCCACTCACCTGCAGGCTTCAAACACCAGCCCGCTGCCCAGGGCAGAGCGCTTCCGCGCCTGTCGCTCCCCGTCGGGGCAGGAGGGTGAGTGCTGCCCGCCCTGCCTGTGCTCCTCCCCGTTCTCCAGGGAGCACTCCAGACCTCTCTGCAGCTTCACACCGTTCTTGGCCTTTTTAAAAAGGACCGATGTCCGCCGGCCCACGCTGCTGAGGGCGGGGCTGGCAGCGCTGTCTGCAGGGGGCAGGGCCAGCCCGTTGAGGCCGTTGTTGGACAGCAGGCGTTGGAAAGCCTGGCTCTCCTGCTGCAGAGCCTTCTTGTCGAAGAGCTCCCTGTCCGACACCATCCTCCTCTGCAGCTGGTTCAGGGACCTGCTTTCACTGATGGGTTTGAGTGTTGGAGGGTCCTGCAGAGAGTCCAGCTCTGAGAGGGTGGGTGCAGGTCCTGTGGGCTCCAGGGTTGGAGGGTACGGGAGCTTGGCACCATCTCCTAAAGGAATAAAGAACCTGCTTGAGCTTTTTAGCAAGACTCATTCCCAAAACCACCAACAGCCATTCCCATCTTTCACTAAGATCACAGGACAAACAGCAGGCTTCGACTGCTGACGAGCCCTAGAGATCTGGAATCAAAATCCCGCCGCTCACCTTTCTCCCCTTCCTCATCCCCTTCCCTGGATGCTGTCTCCAGCCCCTCCCGTGGCACAGCGTCCCCGTTGGGCAGGGCCTTGCTCTGCTGCTGGGCCAGTTTGTGGCGGATGGAGTTGATCTCGCGCCGCAGGAGCCGGATGCGCCGCGTGCGGGCGCCGCTGGAGCGCATGGAGCTCACCGTGTCCAGCTTCTCCAGCAGCTCCTTCAGCTGCGCCTCCAGAGACAGGTGAGCCCGGTTCTCCGGGAGCAGGATGTTATCCACTGCAGCACAAGAGATGGGAACAGTGAGGGGAAGGAGTAAGGCTTCTTGGAGAAGCTTCTGGGGCCAGTGCCAGGCCTCGTTCCCTTTGATGCTGTCCATGAATCAATCGCTCTAGGCTGGGGATTTAGCAGTCAAGAACTCTGGAGCTTGGACTTGTTTCTTTGGATAAAAAGCAGCTGATTCAACTTGCACTGTCCCTCAGTTCGTGTTGCTGCCCCGGGGGCAACAGTGAAAAGACATGTCTGCAGCCCACACAGAACAGCTTGTGATCTAGGCCCTTGTCAGAAACCTGTTTCTTTGTCAGATTAAATGACAAAATCAGACCACAAACATAAGCGGCCAAAACGGAACATATTTTCCATTCCTCTGGCTCTGCTGGAGGGCTGGCATCCACTGGAGCAGGACAGACAGCTGAACACCTACACAAATTTCATTATGACTGTCCATCTGCACCCAAGAGGGCTTCAACATTTAGGAACCAGATGGCACACTGCAAGCTCTGTGTGCTTGATGGCTGAACTAAGTTTAGCCAAGTTACTCAACCAATGCTTTGGAGCTGCATCTCAGGAGGGCTGTGGGAATGGATGGGGTTGTGTTGGGAATGGAAAGTCTCAGCTAGAAGAATTGCTTAGGTCCCAGTACCTTCACCCCTCATCACTCCCTTTCAGCCGCCAGTGCTCCATCTAACCCAGCTGCTGTACATTTTGCCAGTTTGTAATGAAATGTATGAGCTTTCCCCAGAGCAAAAAATCCCAGACCCAAGTTTGCACCGCTCTTTAAAATAGTGAGTTTGTACAACATTCCTGGCACAAATCAAAGAGCACGGGCAGTTTACAAGGTTCTGCCAACACAGACATGCACTAGGAGAGCTGGAGCTAAGCTGCACCTAGCTCAGAGTGCCCAGCTCACCTGAAATCCCACCCTCTGGGGTTCTACAGGAGTTCTATACGTGCCCAGATAAACAGACAGACAGGAAAATTCTCATCTGCAGAACGGCTACAACTTCCATGCAGGCCGAACAACATGCTCAGAACTAAAGATCTAGCAGAGGGGAAACAACCACTGCTCATCACTCACCATCCTCCCAAGAAAAGCGGTAAAAGTCGTGGGGCTTGGGCGACTCGGGCAGGTGAATCCCCACGGCGGTGTCAAAGCCGATGCTGTCGGCCTGGCGCCGCGCGTGACGCAAAATCGCTCCCCCGAGGTCCCGGAGCCGGACAGCTGCTCGGTGGAAAATCGTGTCTTTAGCATTATACCTCATGCAGTTGGCAACTATAAGGTTAAAGTCTTCCTCAAATTCATCCAAGGTTCGGTACAGGTGGGACTCCAGCTTCCGCCTCATGGTGGAAAAATCCATTGGGTTGGAAATGAATTCCAGGTAATCTGGAACCTAAACATATAAAACCTGTACAATTACAAAAACCATTTACTAGCCAACCAGAGCGCACCCATCACAAGCACTCTTAATGCCCCTTCCACTGGCAAGGGGCAGCAACAGATGTTCATTGCTGTGTCACCCAGGCGAGGCAGACACACCCTGGCTCTGCAAAACACGACTAATCTAAGATGTGCTAAACTTTCCAAAAAAAATACCCTTTTTTTGTCCTGGACAAATCATGAGTCCTTTTTGAGATAGTTTTTAGGCCACCAGCAGCTTGAGACAAGGTGGTTTGTGCTTCTGCCCAGCAATAGCTCATCTACAACCCACTAAGCACCTCTAGGAAAGAGACTTGCCTCGTTCAGGTTAACAGGCTCTGTGAAGATCTGGGCAGCATCCTTCTCCTGCAGCAGGTCCAGGGTTGTGCGGAGCAGGACATTGAACGGGGTCAGCTGCAGCTCCATGGCAGCCTGCTGCACCTTGACCTGGCAACAGGAACACAGCCATGAGGACACTCACTGAGGACAGGATCTGAGGGTGGTGTCTCCCTGCAGAATCATCCCCCCAGCTTTACTCAGTGGTGGAAACCTCAGGCCAGCACTGTTGTAGAACTTCTGGCAAACACCTTGCACTCTCCATGTACATTGCCCAGTCCACTCCTTTTACATGGGGAACTCCTGTTTATTCAATCTTACAAAGTCAAAACAAGAGGAAACCCCAGAAAGTTAAAGGATACTACAATTAAAAATGAAAACAGGCTTTTCATGCCTGGTAAATTATCTTGGAGAAGTCCCTGCCTCAAGACATTGTTATTATGCCAGTTAGTAATATTATATAAAAATTAAAAGTATGCGGGCATTTATATGAACAACAACATCCATAATTAGACTAGAGAGCAAAAACAAAGTTTAAGATATAAGCTCTCATACTTCAAGGCAGAAACCAAACAACAGTGGTTAGATGTCTGCAAATTCCTACTACAGTTCCTTCTACCCTTTAGGAAGTCTCTAATACTGCTTGATTTCAAGCAAACAAGTTGTAGCACTGAAAATCTCCTGCATGGAAAATCTACTCAAAGAAGACTGGAACAAGATAAAAGTATTTATTTGTCCTTTAACATCTTCATTTCTTTGATCTTATAATCACTTGTTATGTCATTAAATCAACACTTCAGTAACAAAGGTAAGCAAGTCTGTTTACACAAAGCAAGCTGCATTTGATGTGCTCAGCAACAAGACTGCATCAACGAGAGAATGAATATAGACAGATACAAAGATCACACTTTTCCTCAAAATGCACAGAGAGCTTGCATGGGACTGAAGTTAAGGGCAGGAACTCGACAGCCAGAACTCCCCACCTGCTCCCGTTTGAGCTTTTCCCTCTTTCGGATGAGCTCGATGAGCAGCCGAGCCCGCTCCAAGTCATGCCGGAGCTTCTGCCAGTACTTCAGCTCCTCCTTCACTGCACTCGTCTTCTCATCCTGCTCCTTCTGCAAAACATGAGTGGGGTGAGATTAAAAACACCATAGGCTTCCTCTGTTCCCTTCTTTTTCTAGAAATCCTCTGGGAATTGCTCTCAGAGTCATTACTGCCTTGTTCAGACCATGCCCCCTCCTTCCTCCAGCATTTAGCTGTCTAACAGAGAGAACATCAGCTTTTCTAGATTTTACCTTATCTAGGTTTACCCTTGCACAATGCTGGGTCTTCTGACTCAGGGACAAGCTCCCACCTGCTGTCTCACCAACACCAACTTTAGTGGCATCACGGAAATGCCACTAATGCACTAACTCAGTTCTTCAGGCACGAGCACACCAAGAGGAGACCAAGAGAGATTTAAATCCCATCTTTTCACCTCGCTCCCCTCCCCAGCCACGTGTTAAGCTGAGCTCCTGCTGGCAGGCAGGCTGTGAGTGTGCCCTGTGAGCTGAGCTGAGCTGGGCAGCAGTGGACAACTGCTCGGCGTTCCTCTGGGACTGCAGGTGCGAGTGCAGCCGCCGGATCAGGGGCACCCCGTTCCTCGCCTGCCGCTTCAGCAGCCAGTAGTTGTGCAGCCTCTGCATGAACTGGTTCTTCCTCTGCAGGGAGAGCCCACTGCAGATCTTGTTCAGCCTGAAGGAAGCACAGAGTGTCATGGAGCCAGCTGTAAAGCAACCACGGCTTTGCAGAGCCTGGGGTCTCCTGATGAAGCTTTGCAGTGTTGTGTCATTGCTCGCTCTGAAGTACACACGAACTGGGACAATCTGGGATCTCCTCACATGCAGACAGATTTGCCCCCTTTTCATACTGGAGGGTCCCACCAAGCACTTGCTACAGCACAAAGCATGAAATCGTCAGCTGCAAGCCTTAATTTCAAAATTCAGTTCCAAGCCTTAATTTCAAAACTACTTCCCATGTCAAGAACCTTCCAGGGGCAATTTAAGTTTGATGTTATTAATCTGGAGCCTGGGAAATAAACTTGACAGGAGTCCAAGAATAATGGATCACCTATTCTAACCTTTGCTTACCATTCTTGTCTTACACATGGTGCCTTATCAGCCTATCTGTTAAAACAGACACAACACACTTCCTAAGGCACCAAACAAAAATTCAGCACTACCTAATTCTGCATGAGGGAGAGCTGAGAGAAAAATACAAAAATACTGCCAAAGTCAAAGCTGCTTGCAACACTGTCAGGTTTGACATGCTCTGTGGTAAAAGGAGGAATTAAGAAACTATGAAGTGAAATCTCAAAAATTCTAATAGTGGGATGTCCCCAACCTGTCCACCAACTTGTAATGCCTCAAGTATTTTAAAAATGCCTTCATGGTAGATGGGTGTTTGCCATTAGGGACCACCACAGAGTCTGCATTACACAACAGCTTGGGCTGGCTGCTCAGCAAAGCCAGAGAACCACAGTGACACTCAGAAGAAACCCAGCCAGGAGTTATGCTGCAGAGCACTCTGAAAACAGTTATTGCTACAGCCTTGACTGAAGATTCAGTGTTTCTAAGGTCAACAATGAGAGGGACTGAGTCCTTAAAACAAACCCTGTTCAGCTGCAGCTGTCCAACTCCTTCCCTAAACCTGCAACACTCACCTGTAAGAGGGAATTTGTGCAACGGTCACCACGGGCATGGACGAACGCCCTTTGGTCACGTCACCAGGCTCCTTTTTGATCTTTTGCTTCAATTTCATTTGGTTTTTCTTCACAGACCCTTTGGGAGGGCCAGAATTGACTTCCTCCTCTTCCTCCTCCTTCACAGTGACTTCCTGCCAATCACCACCAGCAGCTGGGCACCCTCTTCTCACCGTGCCAGGCGGGGAGTGGCTCTCACAGTAGGCAGTCTTGCGCACGGTGAACGTCGTGCCGTTGATGCTGGTCTCCCTCATGGGCTCAATCTTCATGAAGAGACCGGCTCTCTGCGCACAGGTGACGTGGAAGGCAGTGTAACAGTTCACCTTGTGGCATTGGATAGCAGCTCCCATGCCCTTCTGCTTGCAGATACAGCATGTGAGCTTCCACCGAGCTGGAGGGATGTTATTGATCCCTTCGATGGGCTCCAGGAACACAGTGTTTGCAAAGCAGACCTCCGGGATCCAGATGGCACAGACCACGTGAGCCCAGCGGCCATCACTGGTCTGCTTGAAGGCTCCCCCTTTGTTTGGGCAAAGGACACAATCCACGGGGCGAGAAGGGGACTGTAAGCAGCAGCGGCAAAGCCACTGCCCCTCGGGGATGTAGGGCACACCGTAACACTCCTGGTGCACGGCCAGATTGCAAATGTCACAGAACAGGATGACATTGCTGTTGTGACACTCATCGTCCATGCAGACACAGCAGAAGGCATCCTCGTCGATGAGGGACTGCTGAGCCCCGTTGTTCCGGCTCTCCAGGTACGACTCCTTTTCCAACCGATCCACCAGCAGCTCAAAAGTGTCAGCAGAAACTGTCCCATAACCATCAGCCCTTCTCTTCTCGTTGACCATCTCCAGCCAAGCCAGATCCTCCTCATCCATGTCATACTCCACTTCTACGTCGAGGTCCTCGGGAGGCTTTTCAATGTACCGGTAGTAGGCAGCAGGGAGGGGAGGGGCATCTGGCTGCCTGAAGGAGTCCACCACACGGAACTTGGGCTGGGGCAAGTGCAAAGATATCCCTGGCGCATGTTTGGAGCAGGACTCCTTCTTCTTGCCTTTGGAAGGCGTTTTCCTAGACTTGGAAGTGAAGAGGGGCTGCTCGCTGTTCTCCTTGTTGCTGTTGCACTCGGTGATGTCCTGGGCTGTCAGCTCGTCCTCGGTGATGAGCTTCAGGGGGTCGTAGATGCTGATGCGGTGGAGCCGCCCGTCGATGTCCACCTCCACGATGCGCTGGGCCTGCGCGTAGGTCAGCGTCTCGCGGCTGGGCGAGCACTTGAGGCTGTAGGGCGAGGGAGAACGCCTCCCCTCCAAGTGCTGCCGGCACCTCCTCCGAGGCTTCCTCATCCCTGTGGTCCAGAGAACCTGGGAAACAACAGGACAGAGGACGGGGTAAGACAAGGAGACAAGCAAGAAGCAGCACAGACTGAAAAACTCACTCAGTGCTGTAACAGAGAGAATTGCTACCAGAAACTCCAGCAATTTTGGGCTCACTGAGTCTTCACACCTTACATACAGGCAAGTGTTTGATATATCAGCCATTTCCTGCAATGTGTATCAGAGCAATGCACAGCACCCTCCAACTTCCTCTGTTTGCACCTCAGACGTACATTCCACCACAGCACCAGTGAGAAAAACTCCAAATAATTTGACAGCACAATATACAAACAGTCTGCTGTGCACCAGATCAGCAAACCATTCAAACCCCCTGAAACTCAAACATTGGTGCAAGAAGATGTGAACGTTCACATATTAAGCTCACACAAGCCAAATAGTTTTCCTCTGCTCTTTTTCCTCTGTGACTTTTCATTTATATCCCCAAATGTGCTGGTGAAAAGGAATGCACCATTCAGGTCTTACAAATGCAGTTTCCAATCTAATTCCAATTTAATGTTTTTTTGTCAGCTCCAGATGAGAAAACTAATGGTTTTCCCTCAGTCCAGGTTTCACAGCTCAGGGCTGCCACCACCAACCCTTCCATTCTGACACTGCAGATGCAAAAAAAGTCCCACAATGAAAAATCATCCTCCAGTTTTGCATTTCCTTCTGTCAAGGGTCACAAACAGAACCAGAGGATGAACTGAGCAAAGCAGCAGAAACCAGATGAGGGATAAAAAGGCAACAAGCAGCATGGATCCCAATGGACTTACGAGCTCTGGTTTCAGCCCCTCTGGAGCCACAATTCCCATTCATCCACCTGAGCCACCTGGCTAAGGAGAGTCCACAGGGCTACAAGCAGGAAAGCAGCAAGACAGCTCCCAGCACCAGGAGCCATGAAACGGCATTTGCTCAGAGCCTTAACAAAAAGCCCCAGCCAGCTCTGCCCGTGCAAACTGCTAATCAGCAAGCCAGATAATTAGCTGAGAGTCGGCTGCTGACATTAAGGAGGTGCCTGTCAGAGGGGAGCAGAGGAGAAGCCTGGGGAGATGGTCTGGGGGAGGATTCAGACATGGTGGCAGCAGCTCGGTGATCAGAGGGCGAAGGAGGGAGCTGGCAAAGAGGGAAAGCAGAGGGGAAGCCAAGTGAGTAATGCAAGAGAGAAGGGCAGAGTCAAGGATGGGAACATGACTTGTGGGAATAAACAAGCTGAGGCTGAAAGAAGTCGGAAAGGAGACAAAGAAAGGCAAATGTAAATTCTCTGTGAGAAGATAAGCCAGCCCAGAGCTTATCTGTTGCTATGCAGAGGCCTGAAGCAGCACCTCACCCTCATTTAAAGCAATCCACATTCAGCTCCTTTCTGTGGGACCCACAGGCAAGGAAACACACCACAAACCCACAATTTGTGCTCAGCCAATGCAGTATTTGTGCTCCATGAAGGACATAGCTCCAGAAACTCTCAGCTGTGTGCCACAGCAAGCAGCACCTCACAGGACCAGGACCTACAAGAAGTCCAAGCTTATTCCAGAAAGAAGGAGCAAATTCCAGGAGCAATATTTTTTCAAGTACTGGTTCTGTGAACCATGAGATTAAGCCATGACACCACCTGTGTCTTAAGAAACAAACAGGCTCTGGGAAAGATTTCCAAACTCTTCCCTGCATCCACAGAAACAAGCTGCAGGTGCCAGTTTCAATTTCATAATGAGGGAGCCTGTAAATACAATTTTACCTCACATGGAAAATAAAAGATGATAATTTCTACTTGCAAATACAGGTACCATAAATTAAAGTGACTTTAATCAGTCACTTGATCCACACACTGCAGACACCCAACTGCACTTGTCCTACCGAACTCCAATGGCTTCAATCAGTAGGAGAAAAGAATTTTAAAAAGAGGTTATAAAGGTAACTTGATCAGAAAATAAAAATAATAATTAAAAAAAAAACAAACAAAAAAAACCAAAATAAAATCCTGCTGACAAACAGCTCTGTTACAATTCAGGCTGGTACAAGCAAAGAGGATATTGGAGGCAAAAAGATATATGGAGGATAAAGTAATTATTATGAGCTGCCCACACACATCATTAATATTGTGTTCAGGAAAAATGAGGTAACAGCCAATTGCTTGGAATGCTGAGGGACAAGGAAATTTCAGTGAAACAAGCACCTGAAAGAAGGGTTGTTTTATCTGTTGATGGGAAAAACAAGCATGCAGAGCTCCTTTAGTGCAACAATCAGTGTATTTCTAGACAAATTACCCCAAAGTGGGCTTTGCACCACAGCAACCAACTGCCATAAAACAACTTATTTGTAAAACACACAATTACTTATAGCACCATGAAGAAGCACCTAAAACGACACGGAAATTGCTGCTAGCGAGAGCTGAGTGCCTGAAATGAGACAAACACCTGGATATTAGGAGAGACACCTCCAAAATACCTTGAAAGCAGCAATGAAATCAACTCAGACAACTGAGCTGAGCACTGTGACCTTGCTGTTGCCTACAACAACAGAAACTTCTAAGCAGCATCCTAGGAATGTTTTGATTCCCTCTGCACACCTGTGCTTGCCCATGGTCCCCTCACACACCTGCCAAGGGTTTATGTTCCTCACACCAACATTGATGGCTACAATGAAATGTGTCGGTGCCCGAGAGATGTCACGGAGCTGCTCGTCTTGGCACATGCAGGGATCTCGGTCTTTATCGATGCCCTGATACTGCCGGAACCAAGTCAAGCATGGGAGATGCACGGGCACCCTCCCTCTGGAACGGGGAGGGTGCGAGACGGGCTGCGGATGAAGTTTCAGGTATAAACTCAGAGCCCAGCAACAGATGGGGTGCGCCATGAGCGGTGTCAGATCTCAGCAGCAGCTGAGGGAACGGCGACATGCCCTCAGCTGTCAGGCACAGGCGGGAGCTCCTCTCAGGAGCTACCCTGCAGGGAACTCCAGCAGCAGCCAGCGACCGAGCCAAGGCACGGCAGGGCCTCGGACAGAAATGAAAGTGGTCCTAGGAAGGGGGCAGGAGAAGGCGATGAACCGCGGAGGGACCGAACGCCGGCGGGACGGAGCCGCGGCCTGGGCCCAGAGCGCGGCCGCTTCTCCCCACAGAGCCGCCACAGCCCCCACAGAGAACGGGCGGGCGGGGGCGCGCAGCGCGAGCGCAGCGGGGCTGCACGGCCATTGGCTGCCCCCGCCGTCCATCACAGCGCCATCGCCAATAGCAACGCAATGCTCCGCGGGGCTAACGGCGGGTGCGCTCGGCCCCGCCTGAGCCAATCGCGTGGGAGAAGGTGGGCGGCGCCCCCGCCGAGCCGCGAAGAAGGGGGGGCCAAGATGGCGGCAATGGGGGGGCCCGGTTGACGCGGCGCTGCCCGTTCCCCGTCCCCGGGCGCTCTCCGCCGCTGCCCCTCCTCAGCGAGGGATCGCGGGCCGCTCTCGCCGCACGGAGACGGAGCAGGGATGTGGGAGAGGCCCGCAGGCTGCGGCGCACCGGCCTCCCCCAGCTCGTTCCCGCCCGCCCGGTCACCTTCCCGCGACCCCGGCGCGGGGGTGTGTGAGGGAGGAGAGACCCCTGAAGGAAGGGTGTCGCGGCCTCCCGCGCAGAGCTTTACCTGGCCGGCTCAGCGCGCCGCTGCCGCGGCTTCTCCACCGTTGCCGCCGCCTCCTTTTGGGGGGAATTTTTGTTTTTGTTTTTCTTTCCTTTTTTTTTCTTTTCCTTTTTTTTTTTTTTTTTTTAATTTTCTCCGCCTCCCCCTCCCCTCCCCCCTGGGGCGGACGGGCTCACCCAGCCGGCGGCGGGAGGGGAGGGCACAAGATGTCGGCTCCGTCCGCTCCGGCTACTGCCGCCTCCTCAGCGCCGCCTCCTCATTGCCGCTGCCGCCGCCGCTGCTGCCGCCGCTGGGGAGGGGGCTCCGCGCTCCGCTCCCCCCGCGGGCAGGCACCGCCCGCCCCTCCCCGGTGCCTTCCCACACCCGGGCCGCGCCGAGCGGGAGGCCCCCGGGGGCTGCTGGTGACGGGAGGGCGGGGGGTCGCTCCGCGCTGCCCTCATGGCTCAGGCGGGGGTCGCTGCCGCCCGTGTGCCCCTCCGGGGCTGACGAGGCAGCACCGGGCAGCCGCGGCCTCCCGGAGGCCGGAGCGGGATATCCCCGCGCCTCGCCTGCCCCCCACATCATCGCGGGGTTGGGGTTCGGGAGCTCGGTGCAGCCGTGTGGGCCCATCCCAGGCCGGTACCTCACAGGCGGGAGCCGGCAGGCCACGGGGAATGAGGTGGGGGTTTTTCTGCCAGGCTCGTTTGGGGTGTCTTCATTTTGCAGCCCACTTTTTTTTTTTTGCAGGAAGCGTGGGGGTCCCAGGAAACACCCTGAAGCGTGGTCAGGTGCCAGAGTCCAACTACACTCCCAGAGAACCTTTGCCTGCCACAGTTAGTCTAAACAAGCAACATCAAACAAACCATGTAAATAGAAAGAGCCTGTATTTATTTTGTAGACCAATATTTCAGGTCCAGATGGCCTCTTCACGTGGAGAGGTGTGACAGGCTGGAGGGACAAGCAAGAGAGGGATTGAGGGGATTGAACAAGGAAGAAGTTGAGTTAGCAACTGAGATAAGAATTGAGATAGGAATTGCAGAGGCTCCCACACTTACTTTTTATAGAGCATGCCACATACTTGAGCATATGTGTGTTCCACCTCCCACTCTGCGCAGAGTATTGCATAATATCACCATCTGAATTTATAGAATTAACCGTTTTAGAAGGAAGCAAAGAATGTTGTTTTCCCTCATTTACAGTCCAGCTGGAGATCTTTTGTCTCTTAACGTATGTTAACCATGGAATCTGAGAGCATCTAGTCTGTGACAGTCTGTTTTGCAGAGTACTCAGGTTGGACCAGAGCTTGTTACAGCTTTAAAAGCAAAAAGAAAAAGATGTTGCTTACTGCTGAACAGTCTTCACATTATATACTGTGTATATATGGTGTATACTTTTTTATAGGTCTACTACTTACATATCAAAACTTGAAAATAAATAATAAGCTATTCTTGTCTTGCATGAAAAATAACACATCAAGGATTTAGAAATAAAGTCCCAATACTCTCACTGATTTACAAAGGATCTCACCCTCAAAAGAACAGCTGTATAACAGTATGGTCCTAACCATGAAGGGTAAAACAAACCTAAAACAACCTACAGCTGCATTTGCTTCCTGGTTAAACAGTAAATAAACTAATTTCAATAACTGATAAGTGACTTCAAAGGCTGAGAGAACTGGGTTTGTTCAGCCTGGAAAAGAGAGGCTTTGGGGTGACCTAATTGCAGCCCTTCAGTACCTGAAAGGAGCCTACAGTGAGGATGAGGAGAGACTTTTCCAAGAGCATGTAGGGACAGGGGGAATGCTTTCAAACTAAGAGGAGGTTTAGATTGAGTAATAGGAACAAAATTCTCTGTGATGCTGGTGAGGCACTGGAACAGGTTGTCCAGGGAAGCTGTGGCTGCCACATTCCTGGAATTGTTCAGGGCTAGGTTGGATGGAGTTCTGAGTAACCTGCTCTAGTGAAAGGTGTCCCACAGCAGGGGGTCATCTGCAAACAGATGTTAAGTCCCTTCCAGCCCAGACCTTTCTGTGATTTTCTTTCTTTCTTTGGGTATTTTAACTGGGTTTTACTTGAATTTTTTTTTTACTTTTTTGTTTCTTTTAATAGGACCAACTTTTACAAACATTTTTTTGCCTCAGTTTTGAAACTTTATGCTCTTAAATTTGCACTGGAATTAGCTTATTATAATCATATTAGGTTCCTTATTAAGAACAGTGGCATGACTCGTGCACAGAGATCAGACATCTCTGATGACTGAGGGCCATGTGTTACAGCATCAAAACAAGTTATTCATCATTTTGTTTTCTAGCAAAGCTGTGGAACTAACAGGTTATTTGAAAAAAAATTTTCTCCATGTTTATTCAAGCATATAAGACATACCTAAAAAGGGAAGAGAAGTATTGTTTAGAATTGAGAGCTGACCTTTTTCTTTGTTGATTTATTAAGCCTCAAAACTGACTTATGTTTGTATCTCTCTCTGGCTGTTTGTTCTGCTGCTGTTTTCTTCAGAACTGCTGAAATCAGAGCAATTGCTAAACAGGTGCCTTGTGCATTAAAGGTTAAAACCTGATATCTCAAAAGTGATAAGCCTCAGTTGCCATGTATTTTCACTGGAATTTTACTTATCTATTTATAACCCTCTTCAGCCTCACATCAGAGGGGTTACACAAGCACCCAGCACTACCTCATCAGTGCTCCTTATTTTTTTAATCTCAATGTCTTCTAATTTTAAAACTTCTTTGTTTTTTTTTTGGTTGACATGTCTTAAGACAGATCTGAAATGATGGTTTATGGCAGGAGAATTTTTATTTTTCCAGCCAAACCTGGCTAAAAAAAGTTAACTCACTTTCATGTAACAGCAAATCAATGAGGGTTGCAAATATCCTAACCCTTCAGTATCATTTAATGGAGTGCATTCCAACAAAAAAAGGAGAGCTGGCTGAATCAGCTGTGAGCCAGCACCAGCTGAACATCACATTAAAAGCTGTGTAAGCTCTTGTGCTCAGAAAATGGCCTTGTAGAGAGAAATCAGGCAAAACATCCCCTAAACCTGGAAACTGTGACATTTTCAGTGTAGATTTGGACTCCATGATCTTAATGACCTTTTCCAAGCTGAATGATTCCATGATAAGCACAATTAGTGCAGCGAGTGTCCACCCTTTTGGGGGGAAAGCAAATTGGTAGTGGCTATTCTGGTCTTCATTCAATCTTTCATGTCTTTTTTTTCTCTCAGCTGTGAAAAGAAAAACAGCCATAATCACGTTTCCAGCCAGCACTCTGCTGACCCATGATACAGGAAAAATGCAGAGGATTAGGAACGCTTTCCCTGGTTGCTCAGGCAACAGCAAGACATGGGAATATGAAAAGGTACTAGCATCCTTTGTACAGAATCTCACTAGAGCTCTCAAATGTGTTTATAATTTTCTGGTTTTCTTCTTTCCCATTGTCACATACTTAAAACATGAACATTATTTGTTTAGTCTGCTACCTAGAATGTGAAAATGTTAACTATAAAAACAGGTAATTGTCATTTTCCTACAGGATAAAATAAGTTGTTTTCCAAGAGGCTGTGGAAATTTTCAGAATTGTGCAGTGAAAGGTTTCTAGGTGGTATCCAAAACACAGCTACTATTATCTCTCTTTAAAAATCCTCTAATTTTGTGGTATCTCTTAAGAAAATAAAATAATTATTCCTTCATCTGCTTTTTCTTTCCCACTTACATGTGCAAATGCCTAACAAATAGGCCCCATAAATCTGCAACTTCACAGACCTAATTAACAGTCAAAATAAACTTACAGAGAAAGATTGTTTCTGAAGGCTTTATTTTCCAAATTAAAAAAAGATGCTTGGAAGTCAGAAATTAATGTAAGAATAGCAAGTAAATAGTATTCCAAGTTAAACATCTGTAAGTTATCTGAGACAGGCACAAAAATTCCATCCATATATCTGTGTAAATTTATATCATAGAAACGTAATACAAACAGCAAACATATTTTGGGCTGGCCTGATCTATGGAATTTTGGACCACTTAATGGCTGAGGGATTTTTATCACTTGGTTTTGTGTTTTTAAGTATGTAAACTATACTTGTAATGAAAGGAATGTCCATGAATTATGTGTCAGTGTGAGTCATGGACCAGGCACTGCCTGCACCTCTGCATGAGGTAATTCTGCTTTGACTCACAGTGTCTGTCGGGGTCACACACCCCCTCTCAGTTCTGGTGCTGATTTTGAAGGATTCCAGCCTTGGCCTGAGTAGCTGGCTCTGTCAAGCAGGTGTTTTTCAAGCTTCTTTCAGGAAATGTCAATAGAATTTCCCCCCACCTCTCCCTTCTCCTTGCTGTTCATTGAAGCACGTCCTCAGATGCCACAGCAGCACTGGGATGGTTGGTCTGTACAGATACTCCTTCCACTACCAACCTGCTACATTTCCTACTGTCTATTTTGAGTTCTTGGATGATACATACCACAAAAAACCAAATATACATACACCTCCAGGGTTCTGGGCTTACAGAGCACCTGCTCCCCACATTTGTTGGGGTATTGGGTAATCTTGTTGCACAGTGTTCTGTCAGTGTATGGGGTTGGTGGGTGAATGAATGAAACCAGAGCATGGAGCCCACACAGCAGCTGTTGGCATTGCTCTTGCAATTTCAGAGCATTCAGGGTAAGTGTAAACCTACCAAGAAACCCAGAAACCCAGTCTGTGAAACTGGGTGTGCATTCAGCAGAAAGATTGATTCTGAAGAGCCTTTATGTGCTGTCCCTAAAACAAGTGAGGCTTGACGTTTGCAGAATTCTTCTCACACCTATTTGTATCCCATGTCCCCAGTGCCTCTTCATGCTTGTCCTCTGCTCAGACAGACAATTCCCAAAGGGCATTTTAAATTATTCTTTACAACTATCCAAGTCCCTTTTCAACTCCCAACAGACTGCTCAGTACATTCCTTTATCGTGAAGATGTTTTCTCCCTCAGCCATCATTACTGAGACAGAAGACTCTTCAGGTCTACCTATCCCCTTTTGAAGGAGGACAAGATGATAAGAAATACCCTGCATTCCCATTTAGTGGTTCATGAGTTCTGTCTGAATCTGGCCTTAACAGATGCCTTTGACTTTAGAGATGACTTTCTGCATAAGAGAACATTGAATTTCCACGGAATTGAGGACACATCACAACAGTTCTGTGCTCACTGTCCCTCCCAAAGAGAGGAGTGGGGCAAAGGCCTTGTACATGACCCAGACAGATATGAGCCAAAAGAAACTGCATCTTATCATCATGGACCATCTGTGCAGCTACAGCAGGCAAACATCAACACCATCCTATCAAAAAGCTGCAGTCACTGCAGGGTTATCCCCAGTGCTGCATGCCATGAGCTGCAGCAGGGAGGCAGCCAAGCAACATGACATCACGGTCCAGTTCCCAGTGGAGAACAGAGATCAGAAAATTCTGGAAATGTTGCAGTTTTTTCTTACTTATGATCTGTACAGCAAAACTGAACATTGCTTAAGAAGAAAATTAGAGAGTACTGAAAACAACCAACCTGGCTAAACCAAACCAAAATAAGTCAGCAGCTGTAGAAGAGGGATCAAATATAACTGAGGTCAAATACTTTTCTCTAGTCCTGGGGACTCTGTGCTCTGAGCTCTGATACAGAGAAGGCCCTTGGCTCTTGGCACATATCCCTTGGGATGGACTTTGGAATGATTGGCTGAGCTTGCCTGATCACCCTAGGGAAGGTGTTGCGGTCCAAAGGTGTTATCACTACGAGCAGCTGTGCCTGCACTATCAAGTGACTGTATTGATAAGCTGTGGATCTGCAGATACGCCAGTTTCAGCACAGGCTGGAAAATGTCCTGCAGATCCATATTCAAAGTCACTTGTGCAGCTTGGGACTCCCAGTCTGTCACTGTGGGAAGTGGCTCCGAATTCCCAGGCTGTGTTTGCTGCCTGCAGTGAGGAGGAGACAGCACTGATCAAATCCCAGGGAATTAAATAAGCAGGGGAAAAACAAAAATAAAAAGAGGCAGTGGCTCTTTGGAGGGGAAGCAGCTGAGCAGAATTGTGTGTATAATATGAGAGGATGAGTTTGTAGCTGCTCTGAACACAGGCTGATCCCTTGGTGCCCTGGAGCTGACACTGTCCCGGCAGCTTTGCTCTGCTGGGTGCTCTGTGACTGCTCAGGGAAGCAGGACACAGCCAGAGTGAGATTGGTTAAGGTCTTGTTATGCTGAAATTCAGTATTTCTGATCCTTTTGCTTAGGACTCACTTCCTAGTCAATTTTACCTTTTTCTTTGCCACATCCATAATTAATGTACTAAACTCTGTGCTTGAAAAGACTAATGAGAAAGAATGAAACACCTCCTCTCTCAAGTGGACAAATACAGGAAAAAAATAAAAAGAAACATGAGGTAAAATTCTCACTTAAAGTTTCAACAATAATATATTTGTCTTTTATGTTGAAAACTGTCTGGGGTGCTTCCCCTTTAGAAGAACAAAGTCCAATGCCCACAGCACCGTGTCATCCTTGTGTTGGCACATAGAGAGAGGTCCCACAGGCCAAAAGTTGGCCACCAGCAACGCAGTGTGGAATGAATCTGATGTCACCAGGGAGAACTGAGTCCCAGCCACAGCTGCACCCATGGCTATAATGACATCCCACTTCTCTTCTTTGAATCCTTCCGTGCAATGGGACTGAAGGTCAAGATCTCCTTGTAAATGTGCTCTTGAAAAACAGAACAAAATAACCATTAATGTGTGATTTTAGAGGAAACAAATCAAAGTTGGAGTGTTGGATGTGCAGAAAAAGGCATTCAGTGGCAGCTGGAAGAGACAAAGGAGAGAGACAAAAAAAGTCTGCCTGAAGAGCTGGAGGGATCTTTGCTGAATGGATAAAAGCCAGAGATCTGTGCACCACCACTGAGGCATCAGCAAGCAATCACAGCTTCACTCAGCATCTGTACAGTAAAGAAAGAGGGGTAGGAAAGTCCCGTGCTAGACAGGCACCTCAAAAAAAATCAATTTCTTACTTTTCCACTCCTCTATGGAAAGCTTTTCATGTTCCAGAGAATCATCATAGGAGTGTTGTGCCTCTGTCTCCTCCTCAATATCTCGGAACTGGTCGAAGTAGGGGTGAGCCAAGGCCTCTGTTGCTGTAAGGCGCTTTTCCACATCCAGCTGCAGCATCTTGTCAAGCAGGTCCACAGCTGTGGAGGAAGGGAACGGGGCTGGGCAAGGTGCAGGGGAGCACAGGCACCCTGTGCATGAACCCTGCAGCTGTGGCACTGCTATTTCCAGTGTTTCATCTCCACACCTGAACAGTGAGGAGAATCCTCAACCTGGCCAAGGCAGCAAGGAGCTCCCATCAGTGGAGATGCAAAGTCTGCCCAACAACAGCCTCAGGGAGCTCTTACTAACAGAAGTTAAATTGTGCAGAAATAACAAATTAGACCTGAATAAGCCCTGCTGCACAGACTGGGCTGCAGAAACATGAGGAGTAAGCCACCAACCTCAAGATATTTTTCAGTTTTAATCATTTGCTTTCATTCAGAGCCCTACATCTCAAAGGAGTCTTAACATGAGTAATCTGTATAGAAACCTATACATCCCTGGTAAAGAGGAGGGCAGGAAACTCAGATCAGCCCCATTCCCAATTGGTTTTAACATTTTAAGACTTTCTTCCATTCTAGAAGAGTTTTGCTTGCTCTCTCCTCTAAACTACCTGGGAAGAGAGCTCTTTCTAAGAGATTATTTTTTACCCTGAAAATTTCACATCAGCTGTCTGTTAAATATTGCTAGATCCAGGTTCTACACTGTATTTAAAAATAACAAATTTTTAAAAAAGTAGTAAATGGCCAAGAGCAGCAGAACATCACCACTGTAATGTAAATAAATGATAATTCTGCTTTTAACTGATACATGTTTTCCCTGAGGAAGGGCAGAGGCAAAAACTGCAAGAGAAAAAAGTAGCAAGAAATTATGAGGACGAGAAATAAAGTTGGGGCTGTGGCAGTCAGCCTGCCTCCTTTCCAGCTTTGAAAACACATGAGAAATGCTGGAGATTACTTACCCTGAGGATTTGCTTTAGGGAAAAGCACAGACAAATCCTTCTTGGGGATTTTAGGAAGGGACTTGATATAACTCTTTGCCTGAAAGAGCAAGGAAAGCACAGTTACTGCACATGGACAGGTGAAATACAGCTCTCAGTCTCAGCAAATGAAGAGAAGAGCAAAGCACTCCAGATGTCCCATTTCAGCAGTTTACAAGGAGCTTTTTATCAGTTAAGACAGAGAAACACTTTTGTTTTAAGAGCCAAGCAGGAGAACAAAGATTGGTTTGTTGGGGCATCAGGACCTCACATCAGGCACCCTGCCAAACACAGCCATTCCCAAGGCAGCACCAGGTCCATCAGCTGTGCCACCAGCACGGAGAAATGCCTTCCTTGCCTGGGAAAAAGGGCATTTCCCTGCTGCTGTAGAGGCAGAACCTCTCCCATGCCAAGCACAAGTCAGGACCCAAATCCACAGGAGCTTCCTTACCGCTTTGTCCTCCAGCTTCTCCAAGAAGTCCTCTCCTGGATGCCCTGTTACCTTCAGGATCTGGGTTAGTTGATCCAGGTCTGGCAAGCTGTGTTAAAGATCACCCTTTAAGGAGCAAAGCCCCAGCCCAGCTCAGCCTGCAAGAGTACAATCAGCTCATGATACAAACCCACCACAGTCACACCAGTAGAGATTCATCAGACTGGCAAAAACAGCTCCAAGCCTTTCCTGGAATGGCACTTCCATCAACAGATCATTTTTCTGGCACAACTATGCCAGGACACACATCCATGGGCTTGGAAGGATGTGCAAAGCTTTGGGAATGGAGCCATGGCCACACAAGGCTGAACAGCTGATGAAGAACCACCCCACCACAGAGGTGCATTTCTGAGGTCCCCTTCTGTTCTCTTCCCCCAAAAGACTGGTCCTTGTGATTACCTCCTGATAAACCAGTCTGACACCTGTTTTTCTCAGTAGCCTCATTCATAAAAACCCTTCCACACACACTAAGAATTATTACTCTGCTGAGGCAAAAGGTTTAGCTTGAAAGGATACAGTCTTTTCCTTTAAAGAGCGTTTTCCCAGTCAGCATTTCTGCCATGATACAGCCAATAGACCAGATATCCACTGTTGAGAGAGAAAAAGGAGGAAGGGGGGAAAAGGAAGGAAAAAAAAAATTAGAAAGGCAGCAGTGGTTGCTGGGGCTGTCACTTTTGCTGTTGCTTGCAGTAAGCACTGATTTAAATTTCACTCCCACCCTCCTCTGTTCTTTCTATGCTGCTAAAATCTCTGCTTTCATAATTTCCTGCAAGCAGCAGCTCTGGGAGTTGTGCAACACCTCTGGGGCCTGCTCTGCTCCAGGGAACAGTGATGAAAAAGAGGAAAAACCAACTGGACAATTCAGTGAGATTTGAGCCAGCAGGATCCCCCAGCTCCTCAGCAGGGAGTCCCAGGCTGGGGCAGGGCTGCTCACCTGTCTGGTTGTAATGCATCCAGTTGAGGATGACCTCTGGGGCTCTGTACCACCGTGTGACCACGTAGCCAGTCATCTCAGCATCAGCCTGCCTGGCCAAGCCAAAATCCAAGATCTGCAGTGCCAAAGAAAGAATAAGGAGAAGGGAGGGCAGGAGAGAAAAGAGAAATCCTATGGGCAAGTGAGACTCTACTTCTAAGAGAAAATGGAGTAGCTCCAATCAGACAATAACAAAGCTCCAACTACACCAGAGACACCCATGGGATGGTTCAAAGAATTTATGTGGCTTAATTCCACTGTAAATTGCAAGCCAGCTGCAAACCCTGTTGTCATGAGAGGACCCTGCTGAAAGGATCAGTGCTTTGTGCTCCCTGGAAGGTCACTGCCTTTCTTGAAGCTTGAGTCAATGTGCTTTACTGGAGTTGGTCTGTGAGTGCTTTGTGCTCCCTGGAAGGTCAGTGCCTTTCTTGAAGCTTAAGTTTTGAGTCAATGTGCTTTACTGGAGTTGGTCTGTGACCTGGTGGTGAAGGTGTGCTCCCAGGTCACCACAACTCACCCTTTCCTATAAGAACACCTTGCAGGTGACACAGCATGGCCTCTCCCTCAATGCTGAAGATGAACAAGCTTGACCCAATCTTTATGGGCAGCAGAGCCACTCCCTGAAATATACATTACAGAAAATGCATGCTAGAGCACCACACCAGCCAGCAAACCCTTCAGAGCAACCCTGAAAATGACTTTGTCCGGAATCACAACCACAAGGCCCATGAGAACCAAAGGGCAGTTGCAGCTGAATGCAGTTCCCCTTCAGGGATCATTCACCTCTGCAAGTATTGCTCAGCAGTGCTGAATTTCTCTAGGAAGTCATTACACACTGCCATCCACGAGGATTACAGTGACAGAAGGCTCATTTGAGGTCTTGTGTCCTGATTCAGCAAGTGACATCAGCAGGGGAGTATTTCCCACTGCTGCAACCCAAGGAACACAACGCCTGGAATGGAGGCTCGGGAGGAAAGAGGAAACATGACAGTGCCAATTTCCTGCTGCCAGAGCAGTTCCCGCACGAGCTGATGTGCTGCAAATGCTGCTTTGCCACCTACCTTCAGCTGGCAGTCTTCATTCACAGCCAGGTTACTTGGCTTCAGGTCCTACAACAGACAGGAGCAGAAAAATTGGATGTTTCAAGCTGCAATACATCAACACAACTCTCAGCTGAACCTCTGCTTGCCTTTGATGGGGTCCCATAACACCCCAGGTTCAGCATCAATTCAGCAAATGACTGAATAAACACCATGCCTGCTGTACTGTACAGCATTAGATTACTATTTGATTCTTTTCTGAAACAGTTTTAATGCAAAAAGCATCATAAAATGCTTCTCAGCTCATCAGAAAATACAGTATTTTCTCAAAATCCTGCACAAATTAACAAATCCAAACATATATGGGGTGTAGGATGGAAAAGAGAACAGACAGGATGGAAAATTAGAGCAGACAATGCTATTAGTGAAATGATGGTTGGGAATTTATTAACTTTATGACAAAAATCAGAATGAGAGCACACATGAACTTACCCTGTGGACAATGCCAGCTGAGTGAATATACTGCAATAAAAAGAGGAGCCACAATGTGATCACCAACAGACAAAATTCTCTGTTATCCAGCAGAGAAACGAGAGCTACAAACAAGAACTTGCTGAGAACAAACCTCTGCAGCCTTCTACAAGTCCCTGGTCCCTAGGGCAGCAGTTTGAAAAGAAATTTCTGCCCCAAATTACTGACAGTATTTAGAGTGCTATTGCCAGTCTAAAGAAGATGCAGAGAGCAGAAGAGGAGGGATGAAGCTCCTCTGAGCAAGTACAACAGCTTCAAACTGTCAAAGTCATCAGGGTTACAGCAGATGACATGAGAACATGGTTGTTTTGGGTGTTCAAAAAAATAATCTCAGCCCAAAAACATAAAATTGCAAAGCTGACTTCGGGGTTTTTAGCACACCAGTCAAACCTTCTGTGTGTTCTTCCCCCCTTTATTTAAACTCAAGGTAGCAGTGCCTGGGGAGAGGTGTGATTGAGGTGAACCCACTGATGCCTGTAAGCCACTGCTGTGACTCCAGGTGAAGGATGTGAGAGGACAGCTGGAAAGCTCTGTCTCCACATCCCAGAGTTTGCTGGGATTGCTTTCAGCTCCCTCAAAGTTAGAGAAACATATTCCTTCCTTATGCTGCTGAATAGAAAATCATTTCCTCTGTCCTCTCCCCTGAGAGCCTCTGTGACAGGTTCAGAGGAGCTCCTGCTGCTGCCAGTCTCTCCCTCTCTGTGCAGAGTTCATTTGGGCAAGGCAAAGACAGAATCAAGTGCTTGGGAATGGAAAAACCATCCCAAGGCCTGTGGCTGCTGATTACTGTGATACCCAACTGACTGATATAAGCAAACACTCATTTTATTGGTGTGTGCTGGACCAGGAATGGTTCAACAGCCAATACCTGTTCTGAGGGGATGCCATAAACTCCCCACGTCCTCCTGTACAGTATTGGAGGGGAGTTTAGTTATGGTCAACCCAGAGGTGACACACAGAGGAGACACAGGGAGTCACTAAACTCCTCCAGACCCACCTACCTTCAGCCCTTTCAGCATTTGGTAGACCAGGTACTGGATCTTTTCATCACTGAATTCATGTCCCATGATCTTTTGTAAATCTGTCCGCATGTATGGCATCACCAGGTAGCTAAAAGGCAGTAAGACAAGGCCCTGAGTCTGGAAGAAAAATGCAGGGGACCAGGCTAGCCTTGTTCTCACTTGGTTTGGTTTTTCTGGCTGTGTAACTCACTGTAAGGAGGATGAGTTGTTGTGACAGTGTTCCTGGCTAACTAGCTCATCCTGCAGAGAAGTTGGAATTTCAACCTGTTCTGAAAATTGCTCTTTCTCCTCCTCTGAAATCAGATATCTGATGTCAAGTAAGAACAAGGATCTTCAGGAAACTTCAAGTGAATTTCAATTTTGGGCAGCTTTTCACCATCCAGGAGCTGAAACATCTCACACAGCAGAGCAGCTGCATTGGCTCCCACATTTGTCATTGTAATGTTCTCCAGCCCTGCCCCAGAAGACAACATCCAGCTTCCTTCAGTACCTGCCTGCTGAGGCTGCTAATTAATTGATGCTCTTCCTGCAGGTACTGCTCTGAGAACCTTCACATGCTCTTCCTGCAGGCTGCTAACACTCAGCCATCAGCCAAACCCCAAACCCAGGCACACACTGCTCATCTGCAGTGATGGGAAAGGAAAAAGGACTCGTCCAACATGACCATGAACATGGAGGGAAAATGCCAAAAAATTGATTGAGAAGAGCCAGAATTAAGAGAAAAAGAGGGACAGATCTTTCAAATTCGGAGCTTAATTGCCCTGAGGCCTGATGAACAATACTTCCCCCGTTCTGAGTGCAGCCCCTTAGCTCAGCAGTCATGCAGTGCTAGCATGGATCACCCTGGAGTGATGCACCGTGGAATGTAGCACATCCTCACTGCACAGGTTGGTCTGTGCCTGCTGTGGTGTCCCAGCTGGGAGCAGGGATGGGATCTGCTGACGTGCTCTGGGTGTGTCAGCCACGGGAGCTGAGGTGTGCTCTTGGCTCTCTGTGTTATTTGGGGATGCCTGGGTTCTAATCTGGTCCCTTTGCACCCCAACCCTCTCTGTTATGCTGCTGATAAGACACAGCTGTCTTGGAAAATAATTAAGTCTATACAGAGCAAACAACTCGAGACTTACAAGTCCTGGAACCCCTGGTAGGAGGCAGTGGAGGTGAAGACATCAAGCAGCCCAATGACCTGAGGAAGGAGAGAAGCCCACATTTAAATCTGGAAAGAATTTGCTGTGCACACAGCACTGATCAGCTCTCCACTGGCACATGCACCTGGGTGAACACAGAAAATTCCATCTGAGGAACCCAGGGACTCCTCAGTGATGCTGCATAAATGTTTTCCCTCTTACTAATACCTGGGCTCACCCATTACACACCTGCTCCATCCTGGGCACAGCAAACAGGTCACAGGTAAACCCTGAGACAGCCTGCGCATACCAAACGTCAATTAAAACACAGGTGATGCCACCAAAAGGTGGCAAGGGAACACCCCTTGTGTCAGCAGGAAGAGGAGAAACGAGCACTCACATTCTCATGCTGCATGTGCTTCAGCAGCATCAGCTCTCTGTAGGCTCTCTTGGCAAAGATCTCTGACTGGAAGGGGCGGCACAGCTTCTTGATGGCCACTTTCTCCCCAGTCTTCTTGTCTATGGCTGAACTGCAGCAGGCAAATAAAAAAACCATCCTGATGTCAGTAGAATGTTTGAACAGATTCTGCAACCCCACAGGTTCCTAGAGAAGAGCAGCAGAGAAAGGTCCTTTGGGGAGCTCAGTGGAGCCCTGTGTGGCTTTGGGCAGCCTGTGCTCTTTGGGGGATGAGGTGGGACACCAAGGAAAGCACAAGTGGCTCATCTTTATTCCCTTCAACCTGCAGAAACGAGCTGGAGGTAACAGAGCTGAGAGAAAAGGGAAACACAAATGGTTAAAGGTCAGAATTAGTTCTAACTCTGCCTTCTCCTTCCTTAATGCACGGAGATAAGGGAATAAAGATATGGCGATTTCTGCTTTGCCATCTGCTTGGAGGTTGTTGTGTTTTAGGGCAGGCCAGCTGCCTTCACTGTATTCTGGAGCAAAGACTGTGGATGTCACATGTTGAAAATGCTGCTGCAATTAATCCTGCTGTGTTCAGAATCCTTGATTGCATATTCACTTCTGTGTAAGAGCAGGTCTGGCTGAAAATGAGACTTCTCTGGAGCTGATGAAAACCTGGTGCAGCAGCCATTGCTGCAGGCATTATTATGCTGTGAATTCCAGCTGTTTGCAGCTGGACACAGCATTCCTGTGACAGCTCCTCTCCCTCAGGAGGCTCCTTGCTCAGATTGCCCAGGAGGGAAGGGAGGTCCCCAGACAGACAGCTGGAATTCGGGGCTCTCAGTGGTGTTTTCCAGGGGTGTCTCATCCCTCCTTGACCCCTCCCAATAGGCAAACAGATGAAAAAAAAAAAAAAATATTTTCCTGCCAAATCCCACTGTTCCCACTGCTTTGGAAACCCCTATCCCATCTCCCACAGGAACAGAAGAGCTGTAAATCATCATGTTCAATCCCATGGCTTCCAGCTGCACCCTCCAGCCTTGCACTGACAAATATTGAGTCAGGAGAAGCAAAGGAAGTGCAGGAACAGCTACACAAGGCAGCTGAAGTGCTGAAGATGCTGCAGGGTATCCTAGGAGGACTCTCAGTGAGGTTTTGTCTCCTTTCCAGGACTTCAGCAGATGCCAGCAGAGGGGACAGCACTGTGTAAAATTTTTGGAGGAGCCAGGCAAATAAGAGGAAGGGACTCAGACCAGGGAGCCAAACTGCAGATCCAAGGCAGATTTCCCAATTTGAGGGTGTCCTCCCAGCTGCTGACCTACAGAGCATCTAACCCAGCCCAGAGCCCATCCCAGATGCAGCTGGGACAGCCCCGGTGCTCTCCCAGCACAGATTCAGCACAGCTCAGTCTGGGCTGACCTCGGGCAGGCACAGCTCTGTCCCTGCCTTGGCTGGCAGAGATCGGCAGCAGCAGCGTTGGAGGGGTCAGAAGATTCTTCTTCCACAGTCACACTCAGCTGGAAGCCAAATCGCTACAGATTTTGGCTAATTAATAAGGGCAGAAGCAAGCCTTTGCTGTTTCTCCCGAGTTACTTTCTCAGCTGCTCAAGAAGGTGTAAAAGCCGCTGCAATAGGAAAATTTCCCAGCAATTCCCAGCAGAGGACAGCAGATCCTAGCTCCACATTTCTGCCTCGGCTTTGTACAGGATCCAGAATCGAGCTCTCTTGCTGAGCTCTGTCCATTCACAACGACCACGCAGCCCCAGGCTGCTTCAGCCTCCCTTCCTGAGAGCTCCAGAGCAGCCGAGAGTTTTACAGGGACCAGTAAAGATTTCTTTTGATGTTTGGTTTTTTTCGGCTGGGCAAGGAAACTTGAAAAGATTTCTCTCTTCCTTTATTTTTTTTTTTAGTCCTGTCTTTATTTTTCTTCCTGATTTTCTCTGTGATGAAAATCAGAGAACGCTGTACAAATATAAATTAAAAGTCAAGTCTAATCCTGCCTGATTTTGCAGGACTTACTTAAGAATTTAAGAGGCATAAACACATCTGGGCAGCCAAGTAAAATGGAAGCTGGAGAAAAAGGACAAAACCTGGACACCAGGGTTTCAGGATTAGTGTCAGTGGCAGACTTTGCCCAACACCTATGAAAACGGACACACCTTTTTTTTTTTTTTTTCATTTATTTTTAGCTCAGCATGTTATGAAATAAGGGCTCTGTTCAGATCCTATCAATGGACTGTTTCATATTTAACCTTTCAGGGTTGCCCATCTCTGGTTTGTCAGTGCCAAGCCAGCAATGTCTGCCTTGTTCTTGCTCTTGCTTCAGGCACCTTTGCCTGCCTGAATAATGAACAGCAGCTCTCTTGTAGGCTGGGGTTTATGAGGAAGTCTCAGTCTGTTACTGATTCTGTTTGCAATCATTTCTATCCGCTTTATGATTTCAAATTGGAAACTGTATCAGGGTTGGGGTTGGAAACTGTATCAGGGTATTGTCCAGCTGCTTCAGCTGCCGGGGACTGAGCAGCAAGGACACCCTGTTCCAGCTCCCACCTCTGCAATCACCCACAAATCTCTTCAGACACCCAGGGATTCCTGCCTGTGCTACCAGACAGGAACTTTAACGCAAGCTGGAGTCCAAAGCAGCTCAAAATCGGCCTGAGCCCAGGGCCGAGGTGACGCTCGGCTGCCCTCGCACCCCTGCCCTGACCACAGGAGCCATCCCGTCCCCATCACACATGCAAATGTCCTTCCTTAATGGAGGGGTTCTGCCAAGCGCCTCCTCGTTTCCCCCCCGGCACGGAACTCCCACGGCCCCCAGCCCGCCCCGCGCTGCCGCGGGCCGGACCCCACTCACCAGACGGAGCCGTAGGCCCCGGAGCCCAGCGGGTGCAGGGATGTGTATCTCCTGGGCAGCTCCCAGAGCGTGTTGTTCACCTCCTGTCTGTAAAAGCCTCTTCTCCTTGCGATGTTCATCGCCCGACGGGTGCGGGACAGCCACCCCCCCAGAGTAGTGGAGTACGGGAGGGCTTCTGGGGTGAGAGCGGGACAGGGAGGCTTCCTGCGCTGCTGGAAAAGGCTCTAGCGAGTTTCCTTCTCTGTTTTCAGCTGTTGCGAGCGTGAAGGGACATGTCTTTGGGCCCTCCTCCCTCCGCCTCCACATTGGCAGAGGTGAGGCATCGGGTTTCCTGACACGCCTCGGTACAGGTGCCTCTGGCTCCGCGGCAGGAGGGAGCAGCCAGCCCCGCTCGGGCACGCCTCTGCCAGCCCCTGTCATCCACAGCTCCCGCTCTGCTGCTCCATCAGCCCGGAAATATCCTCACGGGGCTCGGCCAGGGGCTCACGAAATCCCTCCTCCCAACAAGGGGATGAGTAAGGACTCGCCGAGCCGGGGAATCCGAATGACAAGGCACAGACAGCATCGCGTCAGACACCGGGGGCATCCCTTCGAAGGCGACGGACAGCTCGTGACAAGGGACACCACGGGGTCACATCGATGGCGATTTTCTCCCGAGCCCGGCTTCCCAGCAGCGTGGGGAGGTGCTGAAAGTAGGCTGAGGTTCTCCAAGTGAGCGCTGCGAGGGTTCCAGGGGCAGCTCTGAGACGGGAGCATCCCCATGGTTTGTGCCCCAGGCTTTGCTGGGTGCGGTTTCGTGCCTTGCAGCAGCTCTCAGCCCTCCCTGGCTCTTCTCGGACAGAGCAAAGCCCGTGCTCGCTGCCGTGTCTGTGACCAACCAGCCCAGCACCCCCAGCCCACGAGGACCATTCCTGGTAAGCACAGAGCACCTCAAAATTCGCTCCAGCACGAGGAGGCTCAGGTGGGGCTCCCACACAGGAGGTGCATCCTCCCCACTCCCCAAAGGAAGTGACTAAGCCGAGCCTTACCAAGCCAGCCTAGCTGCTTGCACAGTGTTCTACCCCAGCAGCCCTCCACCCTGCCCAGAGCCTCTGCTCCTTCACACAGGGCACTGCAAAGGTGTCCCTACAGGACAATCAAGGGGGTGGGGAAAATTCACTTTATGTGCAACCACTGCATTGGCCCTTATGCTCTTCGAGCAGCCCAGCAGAGCCTGGACAAACAGGGACAAGGCACCAGGGCAGAATCTGTGTAATCAGCCCTGCTTGCAGCAGCAGCACAGCCTGGAAATAATCCACAGCTTGGCTGGGTCTATAAATACACCTGTGAGCAAGAGGTGGCACAGCAAAAGCTCCTGGTCCTTAAGCAAACATGTAACTCCTGGGTTGTTTGATGAACACAGCCCTTGCTCAGCTGCTGCTGCACACACAGGCAATTAGGGAGTCCTGAATGGCTGGGGCAGGTCTGGGCTCTACTGAGATGAGTTAAGTCTGTGACCAAATCAAGCAGGAAACTTTAGAATTGTGGGAAAAAAGACAAGAAGCCCCATGGCAGCAGAGTCAGCCTGCCCTGTCCCCTCCCAGCCATCACACCCAGGCTCCCCCACAGCACAGCAGAGAAATTCCCACCATGCTAAAACTCAACACTTCCCAGTGCAAGAGGTTTCCAAGTACCAGCAGTGCAGTAAATCTGAAAAATAGATTTTATTTTTAACCAGTGGTATTGTGACATCTTATCTGGCATTACCAATTACAGCAAAATCCATGGATAGAAACAAACTAGCAGATCTCTGCTTTTGGGTGCAGCACGGTGCCCAGGCAGCTGAGCACAGCACGGCACTGGCAGCAGGGAGTTTGTGCCCCAGGGGCTCCCTCAGAGGACAGACTCCAATGAACCATTCCCACTCACACACACAGACACACCCACACACACAACACCGAGAGGTTTTAAAAATCTTTAGCAATATTTCCGCATGAAATCACACTGTAGCATCTACACAGAAAATGGCTGATAAAAATAATCTTGCTTGTAGGTTTACATAGTGTATCTACATTTTTATTTGAATACCCAGACTGCTGGCCCAGCAGAAAAGGGAGGTTTTTTGTCTTGATTTTGTTGGGCTGTGGAGAGTTTTATCCTAGAGCACAACAGAGCTGCTCTCTACATCTCAGCCCAGACCTTTACTGAACTTCTGGCCTGAAGAGATCGCTGGGAAGTCACCTAGGAAGAATCAATGGCTTTGTCATCCACGTCCCATCCCTTTGTGCTGCCTCTTCAAACATGGGGCAAAAACACTACAAAAACACTCTCTGCCCCACAGGTAACAAGAATACAAAATACTGCAAAAGCCTTTCTCCTCACATACACGGGTACATTGCCCACACAGGATGCCTGCAACAAATTAAAAGTCTAAAAATGTTTCCTCCAGAAGCCCTAAAATTGGGCTCCTGAGTTCCCCAGCTACAGATGGAGCACACAACCATGCTGAGAAACCTCCCTCCTGCCAGCCTCTAACTCTGGGCACTTCACTCATGCAGAGTCCTGGAAAATACAAAATATCTGAGCCATGTTTGTATTCAAACATACTCCCTTCTCATGTTTCCTCAGGCAGAGATCAACCTGCTAAGAAATAGCCAAGAAGCTCTTATGTGAGAGGATAAAAAAACTTCTAGTAAATGTTAGTTTTATGTATATAAATATTTGTATTTATAGATATAGACAGTGAAAGGGTGATTGTGTGTTTATGCATGCTTATTTCTTTGCTTTGGGTTCCAATACTTCGAAAAAAAAATCTTTTCAGGAAATAACTTAAGTTCTGGCACAAGATACTATAGTCATTTCTTTAAAGAATGTTTTTTACACTTGATCTCACAAGAAACCTTCCCACCCAAGCTCCTCCTCTGCAGAGAGAAGGTCAGAACAAAGAAAAAGGTGCATGTTTCTCTGTTGTTGGACACAACATCCTTCCCTCGTTGAAGCCTCTAGGATGGCAGGTATTTCACAAGGAGCTGCAGCACAGGAGGAAGGGTGCTGTGATTTTATGGCACTGCCTGAGGTACTCAGCAAACATTTCACTGATTGAACTGCCCCCAGTGCCATCCCCAAAGAGTAAGGACAAAAATCAAGCAGCTCTACATGCACATACAGCTACAACATGCAAAAACACACCACCTTGTAGGGAACAGAATACACAAACGTGTGGCTAGCAAGGATCTTCCCCAACCTCTGGCTCCTGGGAGATAATGCTGAGAAGCCTCAGAACAAGAGGAGGAGGAAAGTGAAGAACACAGGAATACCCAATCCAGGGGTTGAAGTTGTTGCCTCAGAGTTACTTCCCAATTACATTGAGTTCATGCCTTGCTACCTGGGAGCCTTCACTCAAGAACAGTGGGTCAGATTTCCACCCCAGACTTCCCTTCCCCTCTCTCCCCATTTATTTAAGGCACAAACATATTTACAGTTTCAAACAACATCTGTTCATGTTCCAAGAATCAGACACCAGGAGGCCTCTACACTCTGCTGTACCAGGAAGATTTGGATGTAAATCACACACCTGGCTTTGAACAAGGACATCCCCCAACCCCACCTTCAGTCCTGAAGAAAACAGAGGACTCTCTAAGCCTATAAACCAACTTTCATTCTTTTTGAGGTTACTCAGTTGTAGGAGAATTGATAAATGGCAATGATTGCAACCAAACTGTCACTGTCACCTTCCTCACCTCACCCCAGCAGTGCAGACTGGTGGTACACTGTTACTCTGGAAGAACTAAGTGCAGTCAGAACAGGTCTCCAGAGGCTTGCCCCAGGCTGTACACAGAATACAAGAGCATGCAGCATGTTTACATAGACTCAGCTTCCTTCCCTCCCCCCTCCCTCCCCAGTTCAACACACACAAAACCCCTCCACTAAGGAGAATATTGTTGTGATGAGGCACTTGAACGATAATTGGAGAGTCCCTATGAAAAGGCCTTCCCTTCACAGTGAAGTGGGACAAACAGAAGAGAGCAGTTTCTCAGGACTCCATCTCCTCTTGGTCAAGCGGGGGTGGCACAAAGCTGATTACTTCATCATAAGTCAGGCCTGGGGGGAGAAGTGGGACAGAAACTTAGCAGCAGGACTATGACAGCACTACCAGACACACCTTCATGCAAGAAAACCTGCAACAATCTCCAGTGTTCTAACCGCATTTTAAACAAAAAGTATTGTTTAATTAAGACAAGAATGGTTACACTGCTCTCAGAGACCAACATACACAAGAAAAGAAACTTCCAGAGCATTGAGGAGATGTAAGTTTGAAAACAAGGATATGTTTGTGTGCTCCTAGTAGTAATCAGTTACCAGGGACTGTGCTCAATATGCACACAACATGTGGAAGATTCACTTGGTGTAAGGACAGAATCAACAGGATGCCCACATTTTATCACTTTCTGCTGTGCCTCTAACCATGGCCTAGCTGAACCTCAGCTCATGGCATGGAGAGAGAAGACTGAGGGGAGACTCATCAAGGTCTGAGAGGGGCAGCTCCAATCTCTGCTCTCTGTGAGCAGTGACAGCACCCAAGGGAGCAGCTGGAGCTGGTCAGGAGGGTTGGGATGGATATCAGGGAAAGGTTCTTCCCCCAGAGGGTGCTGGGCACTGCCCAGGGGATGGGCACAGCCCTGAGGCTGCCAGAGCTCCAGGAGCATTTGGACAATGCTCTCAGGGATGCACAGGGTGGGATTCTGGGGTTCTACAGGACCCCTGTGCAGGGCCAGGAGTTGGACTCCACGATCCCTGTGGGTCCCTTCCAACTCAGGATATTCCATGATTCTACAGCCATGAGAGAAGCTGTCTCTCTGTCTCTCCCCTGCCCCAGACTCACTTTTCCATTCTTCAATCTCAAGTTCCCTGCTTTCAAAGGACTGGTCATAGGGGTCTGCCACGGGTTCATCATCGGGGTCGTGGTACTGGGCGAAGTAGGCGTGGGCCAGCGCCTCCGCGGCCGTGATGCGTTTGTCCGTGTCCAGGACCAGCATCTTCTCCAGCAAGTCCACGGCTGCAAGAGCACCAGACACACAGGATTTCTCACACGAGCTCTACTCTGAAGTGTAAAGCTTCTAAAAGCCCAACACAGATGAGGAATCTGTAGTTTTTCAGGACCCACCATCATCCAGCATTTTCTTCCTCTTACACCCTTGGCCCACACGTCCTCCATGAACAAAACCCTGTTCTGCACTACTCCTGCAGCCAGGACAAAGCTTTGGGAATCTCTGTGTCCCAGGACATGCTAGCTTCACTTCCAGGAAAGTTCAATAATCAGGTCTTACCCAGGGGATTGGCACCAATAAACACGTTTTCAAAGTTCATTTTCGGCATGTAAGACAAAGACTGGATGTAGTTTCTTGCCTGTGGAAATAAATGCTCTGTTGAAGCACCAGACAATATCCAGCCAGCAAGATCAAGTACTTTTCAACCATCCTGAAGCACTGGTTATTATGGTCTGTCTCCTTGCTTACTCTGACACTTACTAAGCACATCAGCATTACCCTGTCCCAACTAAGGCACTCCAGACAGTAGAGGAAGAGCTGACATTACTTGTGGCAAAGTAAGATTGGAAAGCAGAGAGGCACAGGAAGAGCTGAGCCCCTGGTGTCCCAGCAAGGCTGGGTGCAGCCTGCTGTGCTCTGCTGAGCTGCACAGCACAGCCCACAGTGCAAAACCAGCTCACAGCCAGGCTCTCCCGAGTCTCACGCGTCCGCGGCAGAGCACGCGCCGTCCAAATCTCACACCTTCATTTAGTACAAAAACCTTGCAGAAGAGCAGGTAGTTAATTGCCCACCCCATGCCACATGCAAGCATTCAATTCACAGAAGTGGTGAGCACTCTGAGTGAAGCCCTGCCCTGCACACCCCCTTCCTCTGCTCAATCTCACCTCGTGGCTGGGCATCCTGTTAATGAGATATGCAGGGGGCGTTCCCGTCAGACGCATGATCTGCTGAAGCTGGTTAATATCTTAAGTGCCTCGTCAAGGGCTTTGTTAAAAACAGTGCAAAAAACCATTTCAAACAGAAAACAGTCGCATACAAAAGCATCTCTTCTGCAAACCACAAGGCAAAAGCCACACAGGCAGGGTCCACTCATTTTTTCAGCTACCTGTGAACTGTTCAGTAATTACACTTTAAGTGAACACTTAAAGCAATGGAGATTCACTGCTCAGTTGGTAACTGCCAGTACAGAAAGTATTTCTGTCCAATGCAAGTAGCATTACACTCCAACAAGGCTGTGTTCACATTTCCCAGCACTTTTAAGCCATCAGAGTAGATGTTTCCTTTGGCTGAGGCTACTCCACAAAATTTTCCCTGAGCTGTGCAGCTACACACAGCTTCAGGAAAATGAAGAAAATTAAAACAGAAACAAAAACTCTACCCTCTGCACTGGTTACCAGCTTTTTTTCCCTCTTGCTGCACAGAAAGTGCTTAAGTTTCTTGTGGTGCAAAGTGAAACTGGCTCACAGCTGACACCTGAACAGCTCTGAGTGCCCTTTGATGTGGGCTGGGTGACAGAAGGCATTAAATGCAAAATTAGCAAAACATTAGTATGGCATAAAACAGAGTTAGCAGGTATCAGTGAACAGGGAAAGTGAGAGTCAGTAAAGTAATGCAGCAGAAAACCAGAATTTGTTACAGTGACAAAACCATCAAACACTTAAGAGTTTTGCTTTCCCCACACAATGGATAAAAAGTACAAACAGTATTTACTGCCCTTTTTTTTTTTTTCTTCAAACAGACCCAGATAAGAACAATTATTATTTTCATTGTGCAATAATGTTTATAAAAAGACCCACTTCAACTTACACATGCAAATTAATCTTCTGCTTAATTTAGTCAACCTTCCATCTTATGTCTCTTGCTAATCCCCTGTACTTCAAACACCAGAGTAGCCTTAAGGTCAGTTCACAGGGCAACCAAATCAATCTGGGTTATTTAGCTCTAATCTCCCCAAATTTGGAACATCCCAGGGCTTTTTACTTTGGTGGGATATTCAGCAAGTTGACCAATTTATCCCAATTTGCAGTGCACATCCCTTCAGCAGGTGTTATTCAAGGCTAATCTCACATTTCTCTTTACAGTCACTGTTACAAGAACATTAAGCTGCAGCACAGATCATCTTCACAGCTCTGATCCTCTGCTGCACCTCCCAAACAGCAGTGACCTCAGTGCTCACTGTGCATTCACCTGTTTGTCCCTGGCTCTGACTGACTCCCTCCTCCTTCAGGAACAGGTAGAACTAAAGGCCATTTCACACTGTGTTTGCACAAGTTCACAATTCAAGATTCCTACAGCACAGCAAGGCTGAAAATGGGGGTCACCCTCCCAAAGTGACTGCAGGAAGCATTTCTGGTGCTCCTTGGTAAAATTATCCCACACAGCACAAGTGAAGAGCAGACTCTGCTGTGTGCCCTGGAACAGCTGCTACAGAAAGGCACCTAAAAGGCATTTTCTGCTACAAAAACAAAGATATGGCAGCAGTGTTTCAGAAATTAATCACACTACAGAAGGGACCGTGTGTGTTTAGAGGATAACACACCTGCTCCTATTTAGAAAGATCCCTGGGTATGCAATCTGGAGAAGCAGTAACTGAGACAAGCCTCAAGCTCTTAGCTGTGAAAAATACTTCCCCAGTAACACCTGATGATACAACAGATCACAAAGCATAAACCCACAAACTGAGAGAGAAGTCACGAAGCAGAAAATGAGAATATGGAAGGATGAAACCATACCATGGGCAGAGGTAAGAGGAATAAAGATACACAAAGCATAACTTAAAGCCATCCAAGAGCAAAAAATTACAAAGGAAGAAAAATAACAGAAAATAAATCCCAACACATTCTACAGATAAGTCTACAGGAGAACAACACACAAACTTGTGACTTCTGAAAGGGCAGATATTACAATCAAAGTGTAAACTCACAGACTCTGAGGAGATTTTCTTCAAAAGCTCAGGCCCTGGCGTTCCAACGAGTCTCAAAATGAGCTTCAACTGATCAATATCTAATGATGGACCATAAAGGAAAATGCTGGGAGAAATCAAAATGAAAAGCGCAACACATCACCCTATTAATGTTGAAAATTAATTCTTGCCAAGGCCTCGACTCAAAAGCTATTTTAGGCAAACCATATTCATTCCTCTTGTTACAACTGAATGTAACTGAGCTCTCTCTGTATCAGACAGATTGAACACCTTGTCTACAGGTACCCCACATGCATGGAATTGGGCACTGCATCCTGAACTATGTTGGAGCAGAAATCTTTAGCCCCACTGGCAAAGGCTGAACTTCCATGCTCCCTTCACCCCCTCAGGCCCCACACCAAGCTGCAGTTCACAGGATTAGGTTGCATTAGTAACAGCTGAAATAAAGCAGAAGGCTGGAAAGGGTAGGCACTCATATTAAGAAGAAAGTCAAGGTTTTTTGTGAACACCTTCCAAGCTCATTCAGCCATTTGGGAGGTAAGGAAATGATTGGACCCTGCAGCATCACTTCCCCCTGGGCACACCCTGGGCAGCTGAGCTGCTGCAGCTGGCACAGGGTCCTGCCCTGGCACAGGGGATCAAACACCTGAACCCTGGGACCACCAGGGCAGGGGGGATCAAACACCTGAACATCCTGACCATCCCTGCTGCAGCAGCAGGGAGAAACAGAGCAGGGGCTCAGGCTGAACACATGTGTGTGGAAAGCTCTCAGGATGGAAAGAATGTTTTACCAGGGACACAGCTCCAGCAGGCCACGTGCCAGCCTGAGCTGTCCCCTTCAGCAAGGCCTGGGTGACAAAACACACAGCTGAGGGGGGGAATCCATCAAAGACAGTTTTATGGCTAAATCTCAAGACACTAAGAAGACAAAGTATCTTTTTGAAAACCATCAATGCATCATCTCCCTTCTTCCCTGAATTATCCTCCACAGGGATTTCAGACTGTCCATAATGTTTATATTTGCCTTTAAAATTACACCAAAGTAGTTCCACAAATTTTTTTAGATAATCTTGTTTTCTGGGATCAATGCCTTCCTGATGGCTGAAGATACAGCTGGCAGTTTCTTCTTAGAGCATCTTTTAATCTGAGTACTGCAAGAACTTCAAAAACTCACCTGTTTAAAAAAACCCTAGAAAACAACCCAGAGTTCCTGTAATACTGGCAAACTCTGTATGAAGGAAATCACCAATGCTTTGCTAAAACCACCATCTTTTGAGGTAAACTTTGGTCTCAAGTTTTATCTATCAAATTAATTAAGAGCTCTGGAATTAGCCCTTTGCCAGAACAGCTGAATTAATTCTTCACTTGTAAAGTTACTTGGCAAACTTCTAGCTACCAAAAACCTAAAAGTAAACCCAATATCTATTTAGATTTAGCACAGCTGGACTGCAAACTCTGAACAATGCTTAAAATGAGATCAGAATATCCACTGCTGTAGGAGAATTAGCAAAGGGCACTCTACTAACCACAACTGGCTCATTTCAATTAGATTTTCTTCAGAGCTATTTAAAACAGTCCTTACTTCTTTCACTTATAGCAGTTGAAGTGCAAATTTTAGATGCTAACAGGCCACAGCTCAGTTTAAGTATTTAAGTTATTTAAAGGCATTTAGAAGCCTGTGCACTGCTGTGCCAACAATATTGCTGCCCTGTTTGCTAGTGGAAGATACTTCTCAGATAAATAAGAAAAAAGACAGACTATGGAACTGGCTCTGCCAAAACCCAACCCTGCTTCTGGTTTTAGGCCTGCCATCCATAACCTGCTGAACTGCAGCATTCTTTAACTACAGGGCCCAGCACCTCCCAGAGAAATGAGCCACAAGTAATTAAAGACAGGAAAGAGATTTAGTAAATACAAAGCAGAGGAAAAACACCAGCACATGTGCATGGAGAAGGAAAGCACAGCATGCAAACCCCAAGTGCCATCCTCAAGGTACTCCCAAGGACTGATGAGGGATTCTAAAATTCAGAAAATAACCTGCTATCACCAGCAGCAGCAAATGTCACAAGATGGTAACAGCTTATCCAGGCAAAGCAAAGTTCCAAGTTGTTTTAGCTGCCATCTCAAGCAAGAATAAGGTGTATCAGAAGAATATGTCATTTCAGACTGGTTAGGTATCATGGAAGTTTCACAGTACTGAATAAAAACAGTAAAAAAAAAGAACACTCTCCAGAGTTTAAGGGAACACAAAACATACAAAAATGCTAAACTAGTACAAGAAAAAGCTAGATTTTCTTATTTTTATTTTATATTATTTTCTGCAAGTCAAATATTCAAACAAAGTCAACTTTCATACTGATTTGTATGAATCATTCACATCCAGCGCTGTAAAAATTTAATTAATATGTGTTTAACAGAAACTGATCTTGGCATCAGACAGATACAACAATACCAACAAGAAAGCCTCAGCTAAGCCTCCCATGCACAGAACATGTTGAGTTGGAAGGGACCAACAGGGATCAGAGTCCAGTGCCTGGAGGATTCTGATTTTCATCACCTCACTTTTTGGTCTCTGACTCCTTTTCCAGTCTTGATCCCCTTCTCCACCTCCTGGCAGAGGCTTCACCAGTATTGGAAATCCATCTTTCATCCAAATGCTTCTACCCATAGATTAAACAGGGATAATACAATTACCTTACATTCAGTGTAAATTAGGAGTACTTCAGCAATCCTGCAGAGCTAAGCCCAAATTAACCACAGGGTTTTTTCCTTAGAGTATCTCAATTCTTGCTTTAAGTCAATGATAGCTGTGTTTAGAATCTCTACAGATTCAGAAGTTTAAACTCAATATTTATTTATCAGAGGCACAATCATCACAGACAGCACTGAAGATCCTCATTTTCAGAGTCCAACTTTTTTACTTACCTGATTAAATGAACTTACAGCTTACCTGCACTGAATGGGTGCTCCCCAGGCTGTACAAAGAAATGTGTGAGGGACTGTAAATAACATCACAGCATTTCTGCCAAATCCTTGCTGAAAGGGTCCAACCTTTCAAACAGAACCATCTGAACAGGGGGATGATCATCCTGAGAAGCCATTACATATTCTGTCACTCTAATTTTGGAAATGTGAGGCTACACAGTTGAGAAAATTTACATCTTGAGACCAATATTTCAAATGTCCAGCTGTCAAACAGGAGCAATTTCCAGCAACACAAAGTCCCATTGCCTCCAACTGCACAGGGAATTTTCTAGAACTGCAGTGGATTTGGATGTATCACATCCTTGGCTACTGGACACAAGGCAAACATACCTTGAATTATTCATGTTAATATTAACTCCAAAGTCACTAAGTCAGCAATTGTACAGTGACACTACAGGAGGAACAAGAGCCTCTGCAAATCTGTGGGTACAATGAAATTAAGAGCCAGAACTACCCAACAGGATCTAAACCTAGAAAACCCCTTCAACTCTCTCCTAAAACAATGCACATATAAAGATTTCTAAGAGCCTTCAGGAAGGAACTAGAACTGTTATCTTAATTCTGCTTGCTGTCTTGAGATGCCAGCAAACCTGGAGTGAAAGCTGCCAGCCAGGGTCCTTTCAGCCCTTGGGTAAGAGTTCCATGCACAAACAGGATTCAGAACCAACCCTGCTCTCCTTTTAGCTTTAACCTCATGATCAAAAAGCACAAACACAGAAGGACTGGAAGAATTACAGTACTACCAAGTTTTGTCTAAGATGGGAAAGGATTGGGTCTGTTTTTCTTAAATCTAAGCAACTCAGAACAGAAAGAGCATTTCATTAAAAAGCATTACCTGCCATTTGCAAATGAAATGGAGCATTTAAAGTAAATCATCACAAGCATCTGCTGGGAGACACAAATGAATGAAGTACCTTATTATGATAAAGCAAATAAATTAGATCCTGGAAGTATTCATTTTGCATTGCAGATATCAGTGGCTTTAATTTACAGCTAAGAACAGAGTTGGAGAAAAAACTTCTCAGATTTGGAAGAATCACCATTTTGTTCAATTCATAAAAACCACAAAATAAATCAAAACCATGAAGCATTTCTTACACATTGAAAATCCTATTACAAATATTTTAGTTGCAAGTGTCAAGTTCTTTAAAATCTCAAGTGTCACTGTTGCTAGGGTTAAATAGTGGCAAAAGCTTAAAGGCTTTTGCTTTGTTTGAATGAACAGTTCTTGGTATCTCAGTTTTTCTTAAAAGAAACCAAAAAGTCCAAACCAACCTACACATGCTGAATCAACAGATAAAAATATACCAGCTTTTGTTTAATTCAGTTTCTGTCTCTGACAAGAGAAAAATACAGCAGAGATGACTACACAGCACAGTACAACAAATTCAGAGAGAAATTATGAGATGGAGTCAAGAAGACAGAGAGGAGAGGATAAAGTTAAAGCACACTGAAAAGAGGTGACACTGAAAGCTGGAATGAAAGCTGCTCCTCAGGAGGGAGTTTTGGAACCCAGATGCTTTCTGAAGGTAGATAAACAGCAGGCAGCAGCTTTCTTTTCATCAGTGCTAACATACTGGAATTAACTGACACAAATACTAACAAATTAACAGAAGTTATCAAAATGAACAGACTGTGGTTGAAATAATAAACTTTGGTAAAAGGTGGGCAATGTCATTTTCTCTGGCAAATGAAAGCCCAATTTCTAGGCAATGAAAAATCTTGCCAGTAGTAAATTACACCCCAATCTTGTGTGGCTGAGCAAAAATTTTAAGTGCAACAATTTGCATCAAGTCTCACTTCCAATTTCCTGGGGAAAATATGACCAAATCTCACAAAGTTCTCTCAAATTTACCAAAGTGTCCTGCCCAGCCCACTTTGATGAGGCAAAAAAAAATATTTTGGAAAGATCTTATTGAAGGTTGAATTTTCACATCAGTATAAGCACACTGTGAAAGGAGGTTCAGAGTCAAGCATGGAAATGGAACCTAAACATTTCAGAGCAATTTTAATGAGAACCTTGGCACTAAAGAATCTGCAAAAATCTAAATAAAGAACCTGCTTTCACAGCCAGGATACCTCCAGGAGAAAAGAAGAGAGGCCAGAAGGGAATCACATTTGCAAAAGACCTGAAGCATGAGAGGATTCTTGGCAGACATCCATGCAAGTATTAGCTAGAAACTCAACCAATAAATTTAAATAAACTTAAAGGAAAGTAACAGAAACAAAGAGTATATAAATCTAATGATGACAACAGACAATAAAGAGGAACAGATGTGCAGCAAATTCAAGAACTCACCTCTTTGTACTGTGAGTAAAAGAAGCCATTAATTTAAAAACAAACAAACAGAAGTCCATAACTAAACCCAGAAGTTATTTTCTTGTCAATTGTGTCAAAATGAAGATCTAATTTCAATTTCAAAGACAAATTACTTCTAAAGGATACGGTCTGTGCCAGGGAACAATGTCCTTCCAGTCAACAGCTCAGCCATAATGCATCCCACTGACCAAATATCAACTGAACAAAATAAAACAGAAAACAAAACATGATGCATAAAAGTACAGCCTGAGCAGAACCATCCCATCCAACCAGAGCAAACAACTCCTCCTTGAACAGTGTCACAGCACTGAAACAATCTGAAACACATGGCAAGCTAACTGAGACTGTTCTGTGTCATCTGAAACTTGTACAAATAACAGAATTCAAGATCAGGAACTCTTCCTCCAGATTACAACATGACCTGAACACCAAAGAGCTGGGGAAGAATCTAAACCAACAAAGGGGAAGAAACCTGTCCAAGAGGACTCTGAGGAATGGATTTGCATGTGGCTTTACATAAATGCTACCCAAACAACCACCAACCATTGCACTGATGATACAAGACAGGCCCATACGTGTGCAAGAGGGGGAAAAACCTTAAGGTACTGATCTATGAAATGGGGGTAGCACATCATTTTATTTGGTGTTCTCCTGCACAGAACTATTCTGAGACTGATTTTCTTCTCTGTGCCTGATCTGCAAGTATTGCTGGAGAGAAGATACTGGAAACTGTGAGGAAGATAAATCTGTGAAGAAGTGGCTAAGAGGAGAGAAAAGGATGGGAGATTTATCCACTTTTTGTCATTTCTTCACACTATAGCTCCAGACATTCTCCACAACCAGACACATCCCAGTCACTTATTTTAAAAACCACTCTGCTAGGGAAAGCAAGGGGTAAGTGCTGGCAATATTTTGCCAATTGCAGTTTCAAAGGTTCAAATTGCTGGTGAATGCTATCACAATGATTCTTAACTTCCATCTGACAGAAAGTGGTTCAAACTCCAGCCCCAAAGCTTAATTACCAAGAGTGCCAACTTAAGCAATCAAATGGAGGGGAGCAATCTCTTTTTTCCCCCTCACAATTCAGCAACTTGACAAAACAGAGAATTCTTGTGCTGGCTGAAGGCATTACCTGTCTGGTTGTAGTGCATCCAGTTCAGCATGATCTCAGGAGCCCTGTACCACCGGGTGGCCACGTAGCCAGTCATCTCATCGTCCGTGTGCCGCGCCAGCCCGAAATCCAGGATCTACAAACACAAACACAGCAGCTGCAGGGCAACAGTGCAACCCACCCAGCACACACTGCAGGCAAGCACTCAGTGGGGGACAGGAGAGGTGGGAGAGCTGCAAAAACAGATCATGAAACTAAATTTCACAACCTGGGAAAAGACACTAGGCTAGAACAGCGTAGGACTCGACAGTCGGAACTGGGGCTGGGTATCTTGTCTCCAAAACAAGAAAACACAAACTGAAGCTGTTAACTCTGCACTTTCATGATGATTCACTGAAAACACAGGACCAGATACAAAAACCACATCCTTACAACTCTACAGCTGGGAAGCAGATTATTGCTTTTCTATGAAAGTATTTTCAAAAGGAATTGTTTTGACACTTAAGTTGCAAGGGACATTCACATGGCACTCAAATCTCAGTCAAACAAATCAGATTTTTTAATTACATTACCTTTAGCTCACAGTCTTCATTAACAGCTAGGTTACTGGGCTTTAAATCCTAAAAAATTAAACATCAGCATTAACAGTGGAGTATGTGTTGTTTCACGAATCTGAAGTAGATACAATTGTAAACAGAGATAAAAATACAGATTCTAACTGAGTGCAAATACTAATTTTGGATAAATTATTTTATCAGAATCAGAAATCTCTTCTGTGGTTCTCAGAGGTGTCACATATAACCAAAAATGCATAAAGGTAAATACAAATATGCAGCACCAACGTTAAGAGAAAAGTTAATTCACAAAGCAAAATTATGAATCTTAACAACCACTTCCCCTGTTCCAACTTTTTACTACTTAACCAAAAAAATTCTCAGAAAATTTTCTCTGGTTTTTCTTGGTGCTACTTGTACATGTTCATGTTTAATTTTTTTAAGATATTGTTTCACTACAGGAAACAATCTTAGAATGAATACTCACCCTGTGTATTATGTCAGCTGAATGGATGTACTGTAAAATAAGATGACAAAATTTATGTAACAGTCCAAGCAGCCACCTCCTCATCTCTTCCCTGGAAAATACTGCCCTAGCCCAGCCCACACAATTCAGATGCTCCAGTCTGCCTGTGTGTCTGTGGGTTTCACCAGGTGGGTGTTCCACTTTGCCTCTCCTTAGGAACACCCAGGCGTGCTGCCACACGAGTGGAACAACACAAGTAAACAAAACTGAAGAAATGGAAAATTCATTGCCAGAGCAGACCAGAGGGCATCACAGTTCATCATCCTCTAGACTGTGCCCATAGAACACATAAAAATGAGAGGTAACCTCACTGATGCAGAGCTCCAGAGAGGCAGAAGTGAAAGAACAATAATAAAATGTTATTCTACAATGCTTTAGGGAAGTTACAGAAGCCCTATGCACACATCTGAATTTCTGAGGGTGTAACATTCACCAGGAACTCCCACCCCCTCCATGGTGAGCTGTCCCCATTCAGGGAAGACAGGGACACTCACCTTCAGGCCCCGAAGGATCTGGTAAATGAGAAACTGCACGTGGTCATCAGTGAGCTTCTGGCATTTCACAATGTTGTTCAGGTCTGCTCCCATGAGATGTGTCACCAAGTACCTGTGAACAAAAGCAAACACGTGGGCTGTGAAGCAATCTCTTGAGTAGGATTAGGATAAAAATTCCCTATAAAGCTCCAGTAGCAGAGCTGACTGTCCCAAAGCACGTTGTTCAATGAAACAGAGATCGTGACACTTTAAATAAGGTAGCAAATTGGTAGAGTGATTCCAACAGCACTGGGCAGTAAACCACAGCAGGTGAACAATTGTGACAAGTCCAATAGCTTAGGATGTAGTATAACTTTGTGCTGGAATTCAGGATTATTTGTGAGTGATGGCAGACCAATTAAATAGACAAATATTTCTGTCATAAACTGGGAGGTGTAAGCAGATACAAAAGACATTTTGTTGCAATCTTCAGAGAAGTTACCTACACATCATTGAATTCTTCTAGTGATTTGGCAGGGGTGAACACATCCAACAAGCCAATCACCTAAAAAGAAAACAGTGAAAAGCTGTGAAATATGCTTATAGCACACTACGATACAGTTACTAAGATCCTTTGTGGCACTGAAGCATTTATTCCAGTAGATGTTTCATTTCCATCTGTTCAGTGCTTTATGCAAGCCAACGAGGCCTTCTGGAACTTGAAAACCTGCTGCAGGCACACGTGAGAGCTCTGCAGCTCCATTCACTCCCTCAAATCATCACGACAAGATCCTCCAACACCCTGCACTGCAAGCTTTGCATTCAGCACGAGCAAAAAAACCATAAGCACCAAGAAAACAGCAATCCATCAGGATGGATGCTCAGCCCAGCTTGAGGGGAGCAGTCCCAGCCCCTCCCTGCGCTCACGTTTTCGTGTTTCATGTGCTTGAGCAGCCGCAGCTCCCGGTAGGTTCTCTTGGCGTGGATGATGGACTGGAAGGGCCGCGACAGCTTCTTCACCGCCACCCGCAAACCAGTCTTGGTGTCAAAGGCAGAACTGCAACACAGGGCAAGCAAATCACCACATTAACTCTGAGGAATGCCTTCAAATCCACAGAGTTACAGCAACGCCACTTCTCCAGGGAAAACGGTTTCTGGGTGTCCCGGTCCATAACCTGCACGCCGCCCAAAATCCTCACAGTTTTAGGCAACTGTTGGTTTCTGCAGAAAATGTTTAAAAGGGGAGTCTTGTCCACACAGTAAAGGGAAATCTTGTAGAAAGAAAGAGAAATGTTTATGACTTTGCTGTCTGAAGTGCTCTTAAACATAATTATGCACTAAAACTCTGGAGAGACGAGTACTTGTAAATACTACCACTATTCCTAAACATACTTTCAAACACCACACTTGATCACAAAATGCTATGCTCAAAATACTATTTTCATGGTTTAAATCCACACAAAAATCCAGAACTTGTGCCTAATAAAATCAGTTATGATTGTTGTTAATCATAACTGAAGCTGAAATTAAATTTCTTTGGTAAATCCCATCCAATCACCAAGTTCTGTTATATAAAAGTGCATGTGAATGAATGATAAGTAGCTGTACATTACCAAAACTTGTCCCTTTGTACACACAAACAGTATTTTTCCTTAAGAGTCCATGGGGACTTTTAATCCTACTCAGAAACTAAAAAAATATATATATATAAACACACGCAAATATATATATAATACAGTAAAATTATATTTAAAGTAATTTCTTAAGCAACTCATAAAGCTGTCCAAAAGGAAGGAGGAGGAGAAAGAGAGGATATGAAATCAACACTTCACTCAAGGCAATGAATATGGGGAAAGCATGGAATGGAAAAAGTCATACAAGGACAATACTGGTTGATTTTCCTGCTGTATTTATGATTCAGGTGAACTCCTGATTCCATTTAAAAGTGAGTATGCACTAGTTCTTGATAAACATCAAGCAAAAAGGAATGCTACATATTCATAAAGTGTGAAATAACAAAGCTCAAAACCACTCCCAAGAGCAGTCCTAGAATAAACCCACAATTGCACATGCAACCCACAACGCCCACCCCACCAAAGGAGCTATTTGAAATAAAGGCTGCTGTCATTTACTTTTAAAACAACCACCAAGAATTAACCTGCAAAAAGACTCCTTATCTGAAATTTGCCCATTTTCCAAGGAATTTGGTAAGTGAAGTTTATGAGAAATAGAAAACACAACACCAGCAGCCTCCTGTGAGCAGTGACCCTTCCCCCAGGCCCTGGCAGGGATGGAAAAACCCTCTGTGCACAGTGGAAGAAGAGCATCTCCCTTTCTATAAAGGGCATGCAGAGTGGAAAGACCTTTCTGGAAAACACACAGGAGTGCAGCAGGTCACAGCAGCACAACCTGCCAGAGCTGAATTACCCAAGCTACGTCACACTGGCTCAAAAACACCCCTTAGCAATTACTTCCACATGCAAGTTATCCTTTACACCCCAGCCTGGCACACAAAAGAAGCCATGGAACATTCACTTCTTAATGTTGATTTCAAATTCTCAAGTTTTCACACATCACTAGGAAAAAAAAAAAAATCAATATTTAAGCGGCAACACTTCATGAAATTTAGAATTCAATTATTTTTCAGTCTTGGGTAAAAATCACCATCCTGCAATACACAAATGTCTCTAGTTCAGCCTGAAAATACCAGCATTCTACTGATACATAAGGTGTTTTCTGGGACTTAGAGCAAAAATAAGAGTAGCCATCATCATTCAGCACATGCTGCTGTAAATTAGTCATGGATCTTCACCAGTTTCCAAACAATTCAGGTCCAAAATGCAGCAAATACCAGAAACTCTTTCATCTTGCAAAGAAGGGGATCCCCTGCACCTCAAACCTCCACAGCTCCAGAGTCAAGTTTCTCTTTTGGTTTCCAAGATTTTGAGATTTCAGAGCCACCAAACATAAAATAAGCTGTTTCAGGATTCAGATGAAATTCAGTTTCACTTTTTCTTTTTAAATTACATTCTTTGGGGTCATATCAAGTCACTGTGCTGTTGCAGTAGCTGTAGAACCTCCAAGGGAACTGCAGTCAGCAGTACTGGTTAAACAGCACAATGCACAAGCTCAGGAAAGAAAATTCTGTATAACTGAATATTCACAACCTAGACTTAAAGTCAGAACACAAAGTCTGGTCATATTTGAGGCCTAAAGACTATTTCCCCACAGATAAATCATGCTGAGTAATTTTCTGCCAATACAGATAACTGGCTAATGAACAGCTACAGAGCAGCTGTCAGCTGGAGAACATTTTAAAGAACACTGAGCTGCCTTTCATCACAGACTTTAAAACAGCTGCATTACACTGATCATATTTCAGCTAAAGAAGCCCAATTAGGAAAAAATTGCTCTATCCACAGTTTTAAATCCCTTTTAAAATAAGATCAGCACAAATTTAGAATTTATCACACTTTTTTTTTAACCTCTTACATAGTACTGTGCTATGGCAAATGAACTGCATCCACCTCACCCTAAGTGAGCTAAAATTACAATTCTGATCTAACCTGAATTGAATCCAGAGCACAGGAGGTAGAAGAAAACAATTACTTTAGAGAACCAAGTAACAAGGTTACTTATGAGCACAATTTATTTAAATATTAAATAATCAGAATGTTAATTTTTGTGCAAAGGCTATGTTGCTAAATACATGCTGCTCATTTGCTAGTGCCTCTGCAAATACCCAAGCTAACAGAATCTCCTTAGTGCTACCTCTGAGGTTAATTTATGCACTCCTAATCAGACAGAAAAACACAGTTAACACCTGACAGTTTATTACTGACTGCAGTCACTTCTGTACCTGCACACTTCAGTCATCACCCTCCCAAAACACGATAAAAGTTACAAATATCATTCTCCTGGCCTAGATTAGCTTCTGCTTCTAAGAAAGCTGCAATAAAAATCTCCCTGTAGGACAGATGTGCTCTCACAAATTTCCCTTTTTAATGTACCAAGCTCCCCTGCAGTCCAAACTCCTTGCCAGCACTTTCAGAGCTCTGCTCACAGCTTTTCTGTGCCTGCCCTTCTCCCACTCCAGTGCCCCCTCCCCACACATCTTCTGCCAATCCTTCCTGTGTGGCTGCTTCATCCCACTCAGTTTTACAGTTCCTATCACTCCTCACAGATCTGCCACACCTCACTGGGGGAGCAGGCACCTGTCCCTCCAAGCACACGCAGGATTTGGAGGCATTGCACGCTTTGATAAGGGATTAGGAAAAAAATCCACAGAGCAACTGTTTCTACAAATGTGGTGTTTAGGGTTATTTCATTTCCTCTAGACCCTAATGCTTTAAAATTTGTTAAATCTATAATGTTTCTCTGGGAGCTCTCAGTCCCCAAGAAACTCAGACTCAATACAACTGTGGGTTGAAATGGGAAGAAATCACAGGTTTTGGAGGGCTGTATCACCTGACAGTCTATTAAAAAAAAAAAGCTAAAAAAAAATCTTATGCAAGATTTTGAGGAAGAGTAAGTGTTGGCTGTTCAATCCTTTCCAAATTAAGGCAACACAGATAGCTTGCAAAGCAATTAAACCAAGCCCCTTATTTTACAAAGGCATTAATACAACAAAGAACAGCTGCAAAAATATAACAATTAAGTAAACTAAGAGTATACCAAACGAAGTGCTTCACAGCCTTTTAGAAATTGATGGGAAATTTGTGAAAACACCATTTTGCTTAGCTCAGAGCTGGCTGAACTGATGCCAGGAGTCAAGACTTCAGCACAGGCAAGAAATGAAGCAATCCTCCAAGTGAAGTGAGTCACCAATCAATCCCATCTCTGTTCAGCAACTTCCCACTGCAAGATGTTGTATTGTCTAGGCCCCTCTCCTCCTTACATGAAAAATTACAAAATGGATATGTCAGGAGCCCTTTCTCCAATGCAGGCCCGGTTACAAAAGCATGCAAGAGACTGTGTTGTACAAATACACAAAACGTTGCAAGAATGAATGAAACAGCATTTCACACAACAGATGCCATGGCAATTGCTACTTGACTTAGGAAGAATCAATCTGAGGATATGTGCAGATTTTTCCTCAAAGTTTCGGAACTGAATCCCTGTTTGCATCTCCAACACATGCAGGTTTTAAAAAACGGATCCTGAAAAATACCTGAGCTGGCCATTTGAACCTCATTCTTCCAACACTGCAGTGGTTGCTCTCATTTCAGGCAGTCTCAGGCTGCCTGCAGAAAAAGCTCTGCCTCCATCCATTCCTCCCCAGCAGTCTGTCTGTGCACGAGGGAGCTCCAGGCCATGCTCACAGCACATTCAGAGCAGCCCACAACAGCTCCCTAGTCTGAGTGACTCATCTGGCACCTTAATGCTTTTTTTTAATTCATTTTCTCCTCCATTTTCTGGAGATTCCTCATTTTTAAACGCCTCATTTTGACAACTTAAATAACAGAGCATATTGGATTATATTTGAATACAATAATGCAGTGAACATACATGAAAATCTATTTCCCATTTTAAGGATTGTTAAAACACCACTATGTACTATCCCAACAGGGATACACCAAACCCCAAATGAAACTTTTTACTGGAGAGAAAAACACCATCTCTAAAGGGACAGAGCAGAACAAGTCCTTGCAGGAATACCATAAATAATATGCATCACCACTTATAGCTTAATAAACGTCCATAAATATGCAAAAGTTTTTGTTGTTTTCTTGAATTTTTCAATTCTGACATACTTTCCATATCACTACATCTTTTCTGAAAACTATTTTTAGAAGAACATAGAGGAAGCCATTAACATGAACTGTAAAAAGACTCTGCCACATGTCTGAAATTGCTTCCAATACAAAACTGTTTCACTTGGTCTGAACAAAGTTGCACAATCTTTGAAAGTTTTGACACAGCAAAACAGGAAATTCATGATGCAAACTCGTTAGTTACTGGTTGAAAACAAACTTTGCAAGTATTACATGTACAATGGAGATTGTAGGGAGGGGGAAGAGAAAATGGGAGTGGGGTATATGATGTAGGATCAACCTTAAAATACAAAGAACAAGGCACCAAGCAAATTAATTTCCCATTCCATCTCAGGAGTTGCATAACTCTGTGACACTTACAGGGGTATTTATCAGCTGTGTCAACAAGGTCCTTCTTTCACCAAAAGAAACCTGTCTATTCCCTTCCAATCAAAACCATTCTATAATTATATTAAAAAAAAAAAGAAACAAACCAAAAACACACCTCAGCAAGCATATTGGTTATTCTTGCTACAAAATTGACCTGCCTGGTTTACTTTTATGAAATGCAAGCCTCTGCACACTTCAATCACAGCATTTTAAGAAATGCAAGTTATTTAAGCTCAACTTACCAACAATTTTATAACAGGTTAAGAACAGCTGAGCATTTCATTAAAACTGTAGCACGTGCAAAGGAACTTATTTTCTTTACTAGCAAAATGCAGCATGTGTCCCTCCTTACAATAAAATTGATACCCATAATGCAAATTTGCATACCACATTAATAAAAACATATGCATGCCTGCTCAAACACAACAGCAAATCAGCTTTGTAATTATGCACCCATATTTCAAAATTCTGCTCACACTTTGACAGAACCAAAGAACACAGAAGAAAACCCAGAATGCTCATGTGGAAGACGTTTCTTAATCAAAGGAGGCAGTAATCTGTGAACATTTAACTAAATGACTGCTAAAGTCTGGAGTCAAACTGATTCAAACACTACCTTGTCTTTAAGCTTAAGCCAAGTATGCAGCTCCATTTATGTTTAATGATCCACCGCAGCTCAGCAGAGAAGCTACAAATTAAGGAGGCATTGTATCTCACACACGTAGCCTGGTTTGTGCCTATTGGGTAAGCATTAAAAACTAAACTCTTGCAGCTCCCTGTATTTCTGCAGGTCTCACAGCAGGACTTTACTCTCCCGGGGAGCACATACTGCAGTAATTCCATAGCAATAAAACGAGTCCTCCCGTGTTCATCTATTATTGCCGAGAAAACATCGGCAATAATATTGTGAATTCACTGTAACAAGTCAGGAGTACAAAAACAGCCCTCCCAGCATTCCCCCTATTTCTTGCCTATCACCAAATTCCAGATGAAAACACAATTGCCTCAAATACAATCTATCCTTCAGGTCCAGAAGGAAACTGGGACGAGCTCTGCAAATCCAGCTATGGGGGGGCTTCCCAGGCTCCATGCCTCTGCACTCCCCACCTACTAACTGCAAGAAATCACACCGAAATGTGTCCACATGAGCTCATTGGGGCGGGGGGCCGGCAACGACACATTATTATCTCCCCCTGCAAAAATGTTTCAGAGCCACCTGCCATGTGGTGCAATCCCCGACGCATTCCAAAGGCGAGACTGCGGCTTCCCGGCAGCACCGCGCGTAAAACCGGCAGGGAAAAAAAAAAAAAAAAATGTCTTTTGCAGGAGGCTGGTGGGGAGCTGGGGGACAGGAGCGCCCCGGGGACAGACGAGCCCCGCTGGCCGCGGCGCCCAGCCCTCACGGCTCCCGGCGGGGCACAGGGGGCCGCGGGGCGGGGCAGCGACCTAACGCGACCTCCCCGTCCCCTCCCAGCACTCACCACACCGAGCCGTAGGCCCCGGAGCCGACCGGGGAGAGGTTCTGGTAGCGCTCGGGCACCTCCCACACCGTCTTGTTCAGCTCCTGCCGGTAGAACTTGGGCCGCTCCTGAGACATCTCGGTTGCGGAGCCCGCCCCGCCCGGCCCGGCGGGAGGGGGAGGCTCTGCCTGCGGCTGCAACAGCACCGCCGCCGCCACTACCTCCTTCTCCTCCTGCAGCGGCGGCAGCAGCGACTTCTTCCTTCCTTCCTTCCTTCCTTCTTGCGACCCCTCCCCCGAGCGCTCCCGGGCGGGGGCAACCCCGCAGCAGCGACGCCCCCGCTGCCGCCGCCGGCCCCTCACGCTCCGCCCCGCGCCGCCGCTGCCCCCCTCCCACAGGCACGGGGGGCGAGGCCGAGCGCGGCCCTGTCACCGCCTTCCCCCGCCGCTCTCCCTCCCTCCCTCCTCTCCCTCGCCGGGCTGTGCCACAGAGAGGGGCGGGATGGCCCCGTGAGGCGCGGCCGGCGGTCGTGCGGCCAGCGGAGAGCGAGGCGGGGGCGCCGGCGTGCGGGGCGGGGACACGCTCCCGCCGCAGGTGGGACGGCGCAGGCGACACCGCAGGCGACACCGCAGTCATCTTGCTCGCCCCTCACGCCCCGCCTCGAGCGGCGCAGCCAAGCTCCGACCCCGTGCACAGCCCAGGCAGCCGCGGGCACTGGCCCCGCTGTCCCCGCACGGCCCGAGCGCGGAGCCGCTCCCCGCGGGCGGCACAGCTCGGAGCTCCTCGGGGAGAGCTCCTCGCGAGAGCTCCGAGCCCAGGGCGCAATGCCCCAATATGGAGCCCGCGCGGCCGCGTCTCGCGAGAGCGGCGCTGAGGGCGGCGGGGCCGGGCCCGCGCCGAGCGCGTTCCGCCTTCCCCTCAGCGGAGCCTCGCTTCTCCTTGAGCTGTTCTAAGAGTAAAAAGAAAAGGAAAATAGATGAGAAAGCTTAGCTAGGGCAGCACAGGGTGAGTAACAGCGTGCCAGGGTGTATCTCAGCCCTAGTGCGCCTGGAGCCTTGCAGGCTGGTATGAATTGTTCCTGTAAAGTTCCCGAGGATGTTTTGTTCCCTCCCAGGGATGTCAGGTCAGGGGTGTTGGGGAGAGCTGAGCTCGCACTGCACAGATTACCCAGCGTCCTGATCGTTCTCTGTGTTTTTTGAGAATAAGCTGCGTCTCAATACTTCTCAAAAGGCCTTGCAATATCAAAGATGTGTTTGCTTTCAAGTGCATGCATAAGTCTCAAGTTATTAAGTGCAGCAGGTTAAGCTAATTTTGGGGTGGAACCCACGGGGTCTTCACCAGGTAGTAAGTACAGAATATCACAGAAAATAATTAATGTTAGGGATTTGTGTTCAAGGCCACTTAGCTTTTCATCTCAAGCTTTAGAAAGGTGAGTTGTTAGCAAGATATACACATTCTGAATGGGTTATGGAAGCTTGCTTTTAAAACATTTGGCTTCCCATATCAAAACCCTTATTTTCCTCTGCACAAAGCACCCTGTCCTATGGTGCTGCAAGTCATTGAAGCCCACAGAAGTAAACACTTAAAAGTTACCACTGCTTGCACCTATAAAGGAACTACTTCTTGGTGTCTTAGGGTTCTTAACACCTTTAATTTGCTTCCTGTGAGTTTTGCTTGTATGACCTTGCCTTGAAAAGGGTGATTGTGCTCAAGGATGTCAGACACACCTCGCGCTCTCTGTGGTTTGGAGTGGCTGGGGCATGTGTACAAGACATATAATGTAAAATACATACAAGTAAATGTAATGCTGGAGGCCCTGCTGTGGTGTCAGAAGAAACAGGTCTCAGTGATCGTGGATTTGTTTCTTTGTTTTAGTTTGGTTTGACTATGAACATCTCAGTTTTCTTTCTGAATCTCTTTTTGGATCTGGTCTGGACTCTCAATGGTTATGGCTTTTTCTGCTCTGCTAAATCCTCCTGTGAAAGCAAACACAGAATCTCTTATTCATCATTTATCTGGGCTTTGTTTCAGTGTATACTGAAACTTAAACTGTTGTTTTGAGACCGTGACAGGGCTTGAGACTCAAGACTGAGCCACTGGGTGAGGTTCTCCAAGGTGTGGTGAGCTAATCTATCAGCCTGCTGCTGCCAAAAGGGACAGGACCACACAGGGGAAGGAAAGCAGGGGAGCCAGCCTTCTCTTTCTGAATAACCAGCTCTTTCATCAGCTTAGCCACGTGTGGTACTGAAGCCTAAAACTGTGGGTCTTGTCCAACTTACACTGCTGTAAAGGAATTTTCTGGTGATAACTGCAGGCAAACAGAGCTGTAGTTTGAGTTGCTGTTGTGTTTTCTAGTTCTCAGTAACCATGAAGACTTGTCAACAAGGTTACTTTCTGTAATAGTGAGATCTTTTACGTTGTGCAAAAGCCTTCTGTTCCACTGCTGTCTTTTTAGATCTTAAAAAATGTAAGGAGATGGGATGAAATTATGGAGTCAGAGGAACAAAACCACTTGATGGTAAGCGTTGAATTGTCAATATTTATGACATGTGATGTAGAGTTAAGAGTCTGTCCATCCAAAATTACCTGATGCAATAAGTTTTGCCCAAAATTCAAAGGGAGAATTCTGCTAATATTATTGGAAATTTTATCATTGCGTGGTTTAATAAGAAAATCTCTTTTATTTCTTCCTCCAGCACATTGTTCAAGAAAAATGTCTGCCTTGCCTCCTCATGATGTTTTCCCTGTTCCTTTGCCACTTCCCTGTTTCTTGTGTTTTCTCTGTTCCCCATTTTGTATCCACTTGTCAGCAGAGCCACCCTTGACAGTGAAGTTATGGAGAGGAACAGAGCTCTGTAATGTTAATGTGAGTCCCCACAGTCACTGTTCACAGTTCAGGGATGCCAGGAGCCTCACTTATATTTGGTTTGTAAATAAAAATAAAAATCACCAACATTGCCAGGGAGTTAAAAGGAGGAGGAAGGAGCACTGGGCAGTGGGGTTAGTCAGAGTTTAGCTACTGGAAATTCTGATTCAAACACATACATGGGAAATAAATCATGTAGGTCAAGTCCTGATTTAACCCACTTATTAAATAACGTAATACAGGAAGCATCTGTCTGGTTTTGGGGAGGTGGGATAGGTTTGTTTATTTTTGCTCCCCAGATGAAGTGTTTATATGGTTTTCTTCTAGGTCAGAAGGAATCAAAATACCATCCCCTCTTTTTCTGCAGTGTTAATTAGGTCAAGTAATTGATGTTCCCAGTGCTCTGGGCTTCTCCAGCGACAGGCTATCGTGTGAACAGCACACAGAGTATTTGTGATTCATCTGAGGGGAATGCAAGGGCACAGAGGTGCCTGCCTGGCACTGATGGTGTGTGCCAGCTCTGGGATAACACCTGTGCAGGTGCCTGCAGACAGCAAACAGGGCTCACACAAGAGTGCTGCACACACACAGGTGGCTGCTTTGGACAGGGGGAAAAGTTAGGTGAGGCAGAATCTACTGCAAAACAGTTTGCTGAAGTCCAGCTGAACAGCAGAAGGTGGAATGTTTGGTTTGACATTTAAGCCTTCACGTTAAATTATCCTGCCAATAACTTAGATATTGCCATGGAGTTGAGGAAATGGTTCTGGGCAGATCTTCCTTTGAAATCTCCATTTTTTCCCAAATTTTCCAAATTTGTTGCTTTGAGACCTGTGTTCCTGTTTGGGCAAAGACATCTTTGTGTGCAAGCTGGAAAGGCATCCTGCTGAGTTTTGCAGTTTTTTGTTGTTGTTGTTTTTATTTCTCTGACAGAGTGAGAACCCTTCCAGTGGAGGGCAAAAGCTCCAAGTTTTTTATTTCCAGAGGTTACTGCACCAGCTGTCTTTGGGCTGATGGGGGAAGTGAAGGACAGAGACAGCTTGATTTCCTGAAGAACTGGAGCTTAAGCACATGCCTTTTTCTGCCAGTATTCTGCAATAATTTTTAAGCTTGGCTGTCTCAGCCAAGTTTGAATAGGGCAGGTGGCTGGAAGTTCCAGGAAAAGCAATTGTTCTGTGTAAAGTATTCCAGTAGTTGCCCCACCTAGGAAAAGAACCCAGTCTTGGCTAATCACCCTGTGCTGGGGTCCTACACCTGAAGGAGGCAAGAAGGAGGAGAAAAACCTCCCCAAATGTGCAGGAAAGCAGAGTTCATGAGTTCTGCTGCTCATGAAACCACTTAACTCCCTTACCTTGGCATTGCACATAATAGCTAATGTAAGGATATTGACCTTTCAGACTCTCCCCCATAGAAAAACCTTCAAAGAAAGAAGGTGACATCAAATATTCATGCAGGAGGGCTGGGATCAGCCCCCAGACAGGAGGTGACTGTTTCCCCAGGAGCCCCCTCTGAGGTGAGGCTGGCCTGGGAATGCAGCAGGGACCCACAGCAGCTCGGGGTGTCACCTCCAGCAGTCCCTGTGAGCCCAGCTCCTCGAGAGCTGGGGATTTGGGCTGTCCTTTGCTCCCGTGCCAGCAGGGCCCTCTCACTGCTCAGCTGGTGTCACCTCATTTTGGCAACTGCATTTGACCACCTTGACAGTCTGGCCACCCCTGGCTAAGAGTTATATCCAGACAGGAATTTGGCTTTTCAAGAAGACTGTATAGAGTCTCTTGCTGCAGAGGAAACTGAATCCTGGAACCCCTTGGACTGAAAGACAGGAAAAACTGAAGGCCCAAATGGTATTGAGTAATTCTCAAACCATGTATGCTTCCCTACATTGTTCTGGACAGTGGCCTCACGCCAAGCTTCTCTCAGCTCTGTTCAAAACGAGTAATGTAAAACCCATGAAAAGCATAGCCCTCATTTCCAGATTCTGTTGGCTCTCCTGTGGCAGCCTTGATTTAAGATGAAATGCATTCCTAGCTATTGGCACCATGAAAGTCTCCACCGAAAACTTCAGAGATTTTTTTTTTTTCATCTTGCTCAGCAAAGTTCCAAATCTTCCCTTCCTACCGTAATGACTGCAGAATTTAGCACCAGGGGACTGAAAACTTCAGAGATTTTTTTTTTTTTTTTCATCTTGCTCAGCAAAGTTCCAAATCTTCCCTTCCTACCGTAATGACTGCAGAATTTAGCACCAGGGGACAAATCAGACATCAGAATGCCAGCACGCATGGCACGGGTATTCATGCTGCAAAGCAAATATCCTGCTGAGAGGAATCCAGTCAATCCTGATCCTTTTCCCCATACAGGTGTGCAGTGCCATGACATTGTTCCCACATGTGGACAAAGCTTCTGTGCTCAGCCAAGCACAAATCCCTGGACGTGGGCTGTGAAGTGACAAAGCACCTGCTTTATAGCCAAATGTTCCACCTAACCCTCTAAAAACTCATGGAAGTCAGAGTTTAAAGGCCTGTCTATAATTTTTGTTGGCAGCCTGAAGTTCTTACCCGATGTAGTTGAGACAAGTCCAGTTGTTTGCAGGCAGCACTGCTCTAATGTTCTTCCCAGCTGGTGGGATGCCACGATGCTTTCCTGGCAGGGGCTTGCTGCAGAAACCCAGGCTGCAAATTATTGTGGTTTTATTTCGTATCCCCTACAC